AAGATAAACCCAAACTGAAATTCCCACAATTACAGTAAAGTATTTAACAAGGTCTTACAGCTCCCCTTTCATATCTACCAATAATAATATTAGGCGAGGGAGGAACCAGTTCGGCGAGGAAGATTCTTTTTTTTCCCCCGGAACCCCCGTATAGCGGTGAGGAGAAAGAGAGCGTTTTGGGAATCTGCCCGCAGGCACAGTTGGCAAACCAAGTGGTGAATGTGAAGGAACCCAGCTCTGATGATGATGAGTGGGACGATGATGATTGCTCACAGCCGTCTTCACGGAAATCGAGGAATAAGTCTTCTCACATTTCCACAGTTTCTGCACAGACCATTCCCTTCATGATCTCCAGCCCTACTTCCGCTGGCTATACCCAGGAACAATTTCACCAGAGTCTACACAACTACTTTATTCCCACAAAACAAAGTCCACCACCACCATTGCCGTCTACGAGTCATATTACTGGATTTTCTGGCAACAGCAACGTCGCCGCTTTTCCACCTGTGCCTGGAGAGAACGTTCAAATCCAGAATCAAAATCCCAACAACCCGTTTTTCCAACGATTCGTAGAGAGCATACGGAGAGGAGCGGAGCCAAGGGAACGCTCGAATTCTGATTCAACTGTGATCGAAGACGAACCGGATGTTTCCCCCAACGTTCGCCAAGCTACGGTAACTCCCTTGCTCAGAGCTGCGCCAATAGGGCCTTTCCAGACTGGCCCAACGGGACCTCTGCCACCGATCCCTCGACGGGTGTCCCCCGCACACAAGGTCTCAGAAAACTCACCAAGTATAAGCGTCGGAACGTCAAGCAACCAACCTCCGCCTTACTCTCCACCTAACAAGGTCACAAAGGTTCGGCGGTATAGAGCTATCTTTCCTTCCGATTTGCACCCGCAGCCTCAATCACCAGGACCTCTATCCCCCGAAGGACAGACACAAATGGCGTCGAGAGGTGGAATACTCCTGTCCAGTATGCGGCAAGCGGAGGCCCCGGAGGCCCCGCAGGCCCCGCAGGCCCCAGCAGCAACGTACCACGCCAGGAATGATCCTCTACCGCGAGGTGTTTTACCGCCCCGTCTGCCAAACAACCCTGTGCACCTCTCGGACATCGAGAGACCCGGGGATGTACGAGTACAGAACGAATCTAGGCGCCAGAGGTTAGAACGCGAGGACCGAATGGCTAGGAAGGTCGGCGGCCTGTGGCGCGGCAGGGGCTGTTTGAGTAACAGAGGCTGCTTTGGTAGATCTGGTCGAGAAGGCAGAAAGCGACGCCGGTGGTACATGTGCATTGCAGTTGTTTTAATCACCATCATTATTGTCAGTGTTGTGCTCGCTATCACTCTCACGAGAAAGCGTGATGATGCACCCGAGTCACGCTGGTTGAACCTGACGGGCTATCCACCCATGCCAACTGGGGTTTCAACCATTGCGGGCCCGAATGCAGCCGTCGCCAACTCCGGGTGCATACGCCCAACATCGATGTGGAGCTGTGCGTTGCCAAAGGAAAACCAGGATGCAAACAAGCCCTTTGACCCGGACCAACCGAACTTCAGGATCCAGATCAATTTCCAGAACGGCACCTTTTCTCATAGCACAGTCCCTTTAAATAGGAAACGATCGACCTCCACATTCCCGGATAATTTGGGCTCCAGCCGTCGTCGATCGCTGCAGGGACGGAGCGGCGGATTGTCTCCGATCCCTGCCCCACCGGGACTTGAAGAACAGGCATTCCTGGGAAACACGTCTGATGGAGTAACTGCACCATTTGCGGGGGAAGATACACCGTTTTTCGCAACCTTCCTCTCTCCAGAGCCGATAAAAATATCTACCCGCCAACGGCGCGCAGACACTCCTCCACCACACGGCACTGACGCTGACGCCGATGACCTACGGGACGCCATCCCCGACCCAGCGCACAACCCCGACGGGACTGCCGCACCCGCAAACCTCCTCCCGCTCCCTATCGCCCAGCCGATCCGTCTGTATGACCGCGGTCTCCCTACCGAACACTACGGCTTCTACACCTACTTCGACCGCTCCATCTTCCTCAAAGCCGACAGGCCTCTGACCAACGACTCCGTTCTAGCCGTAGCGCCTGACGACCAAAACGGCGGCTCAACGCGCTCCGCCGCTCGCACCCGCTGCACCTGGACGCAGACCCGGTTCCTCGTACAGATCTGGACGCAGCCTTCGCAGAATAGCATGGGCCTGATCCCGCTGCAGCCATCGCTAACCCCGACGCCGGGCTCTTCCTCTCCTCCCGCGCCCGAGTCCTCCACGGCAGTACCCTTCCCCACCGCCGCGACAGACTTCACGCGCCCGGGCTCCTTCCCCTACCCCATCACCATCGTCTTGGACAGACACGGCGGCGATCCAAAGTCCAAGATGGTCTACTGCTACCAGCTCGATTTGGAGCAACGGTACGTGTTATCTTCGAAGGCGCTGCAGGTGGAGGATCGGGGGTACGGGGGCCAGCTGGTCAACCCGGGGTCGTTGCTTGGTGGGAGCGCGAGGGGTACTTCCTCAGCAGGGGGGTTTGATGGCGGCACCGGGGGATGCCGGTGCGAGTGGCGGAATTGGCTGGCGGTGCGATGAGATTGGCAGCGTGTGATGGTGTATTTGTAAAAGTGTTAACATATACGTATTATACATGGTTATTGCATTATTTCTTATTTATTGATGTCCTCCGTGCTGTGTTTGCCTGATGGCCCTGATTGGCTTTGATTTGGCTTTGATTTGATGTCCGTGATTTTGAGTACTGAAAATGGTTTATGTTGAAAATTAATCCATCTTCATGGGTTTGTTCAGCTTGTACAGTCCTTGTTGAATATATGTATGTACTACGGAGTACATTACGCTTGATTGAAAATAATTTATCCTTTTTTTTTTTTTTCGCCTGTAGTGTTCCTTATGTATGTATGTATGTATGTATGCCCAGTCCCTGGTGCTGGGTTTTTTGTCTTTTCTGTCTTCTCTTGCTTTTTGTTATGTTCATTTTGTACAGCACTTTGATTAGTTAGTTATAACTTATGAATCTGGATTATATTAGCAACTGTACATAGTATAGTTATACGGAGTAGTTAACTAGTTATAGTTAACTATGTCATTTCCCCATTCGAGCGTTGAACGGCTGTGTGAGCACAGCCCCAGCCTCGGTCGGGGGTTAATGAATACCTTTATCCAGCACGGCGGGGCCTCCGCGAAAATGTAACATTATTAACTACTAGTAGACCAACAATGCCAACGGGCGACGCTCCAACCTTAAGCATCAGCGGAGATCCCCACCCCCCGCCCACCATCCTGGGCTGCGCAAGAGTTGGGTGGAGGGGCGTATCTGAGACTTGCGTAGGAGAGCGTTAAACAGGGATGTTTGTGGGGTTGATTGTTCGGCTTGGCTTGTTTGGCGGCAGGAAGTGCCCGGTTGGCTTCTTTTGCCCCCCGAAAATATAATACTTTATTGTATTCAACATTATTCTACTAGAGTACGGTGTCACTTGATGAGATACCAACTTACTGAGTTTCCGTCGGCAGCAAAACCAGGAACTGCTTGCTGTCTCCCCATTCTGATTGCCTCGTGCTGCACCATCCCAGGAAGACGCTCACGACGCTCCTCTGCAGAAGTGAGAGCCAGGCGACGATGTTCAGCCCGGCCAATGAGCTGGTGCCCGAGCTGCGGGGGGGGCTTGCGGCCAAGATGCGAGCGGCGTAACGTCTTGGCGCAGGCCCAGCGGCTCGGCGGTCAATCTCGAGTGAGAATTGGTATGACGACCAACACGGCCGGGTCTAGTGGGCGCTTGAGTTGATTGGTACCTCTGGATTATTCCAGGGGTGCCTATGCTGGAAATCCAGGGTTGATAGAATTCCTTGCGTTTTCCATTGTTGGTAGTTCGTTTGTGGGTAGGTCAAACATTTATTCCGCTCCTGACAACCCTAACCAAATACCTTGATATGAACACCATATCCATTGCATCGAGCCTTCTGCAGGGTGGCGGAGGATCTCCTTATGGCCTCTCCCTGGGACACGAGGGATGATTCCCCAGTGTCCACTCGGTCCGCTCTGTGAAGCATCTCTCGCACCCTTTTTCCTTGTTTGAGGTGCGGAGTCTGGCAGAAGGGCTTTGGCGTCCCACCCCTGGACAGATGTCATTCTCCTGCTTGTTGGGTGTTTTGCGCACGAGAGGATTGGCACGATTGGCACTGTTGGCTGAGGGCCCCGTATCCAACCATCAGTGCTGGCTGGGGTCTGCCCCAAGTTTCGAATCGAAGCTTGGCATGCTCAGTCTGGCATTCGCCATGATGCTATGATGGAGCTGAATCCTGTTGTCATACTATGTAAGATGGGGGGTGAGGAGTGGAAATAAAGATCCGCCGTCACCCCAAATCCCCTGGTCCCCTGCGTTCTGCTTTTTTCTCGCATCTCCTGCTGGCGACATCCCTCCCCTCTTCTTTTGACAGACACTTCCCCGCCCCGTTTCGAGGCCTTCCCATCAAACCCCAGTAGCAATGTCGTCCAACGACCTGAGGGAGGAAGCTGTCTCTACAGAGAAGACCCAGCCCCTGAAGCACGTCCAGAGTCCTGGCGTGGTTGAAACAATGGAGCGGGTGGAAGAGCCAAAGAAAACCCTGTGGGAGAAAGTGAAAACGCCCGGCTCGGTATACCAGATTCTTATCTCTGCTGCCATCGCCATCGCGATCGGTTTCGCTGTGAACACAACGGTGGACAAAGTGCCTGTTGCCGCTGTCGATCTCTGCGGCATACCTGGCCGAATCTGGTTGCGCGCTCTCAAAGCTATTGGTAAGTGAGGTAGCCACAAGAACAACCTGTATCCTGTGGTCCCCCTCTCTCCTCGCAAATAAAATTAAATATCCAACAAAAATGAATGTGAAAAAAAAAAGGAAAAAAAAAAAAAAAAAAACGCTTAAAAAGGAAATTGTTTCATTATTTTGTCGAATCTTTGCTGATTTCTCGTTAGTCCTACCGTTGATCGTGGTCTCTCTGATCCTAGCCGTTCAGCGGCTGCGGGAGATGTCGCGCGGTGGAGCACTTCTAGCTCGCTGGACCATTGGATACTACCTTTTTACCACGCTGGTCGCAATCTTTCACAGCACAATCCTCGTGGCATTGGTCTGGAGCAAGCAGTTTTCCGAGGTCGACCCTGATTCGCGCACTGTCGATAAGGACTTGCAAAAAGACATCGACTCACGTTCCGCCTACCAGGCGCATGATATTGTCGTCGAGCTCTTCGACACCCTTGTGCCGGACAACATTGTCGCCGCGTTTGCAAACGACATCCTCCTTGGTGTTCTCGTGGCGTCCATTATTCTTGGCTATATGATTAAGGACCCTGCCACCTCGTCGATCCTGCGGGTCGTAAGGGAGATTGAAGGTCTCATCACCATCGCCATCACTTTCCTTATCAACATGGCACCGATTGGGATTTTCTTCCTGATCATGCCGAACCTGTTCAAGCTCGATATCAAGGAGGTCGGCATCAATCTGGGTCTGCTGATAGGAGCTGGTCTCTCCGGCATGGCCATTCAACTGGTCATTGTATACCCCATCCTCTACTTTGCTGTTACCAGGGGGAATCCTTTCGCATACTGGTTCCGCAATTCTCCGGCGTGGATTACCGCGTGGGGCACGGCATCGTCCGCAGGCACAATGCCGGTGACACTCAAATGTCTTCAAGCTCGGGGGGTGCCAGACACTATCGCCAAGTTTGCAATTCCGCTTGGTACCTTGGTAAATATGGACGGGTATGTTTTTCTAATGCCATTTGTAACATTTCCTCTATGAACACATCCTTCGATACGTGTATGTAAACTTACACTTTCTTTCGCCTTCCCTCATAGAACCGCCATATACCTCCCAATAACTGTAACTTTCCTCGCCGCGACTCAGGGCCAGGTCATCACTCCTGGCCAGTACGTGGTAGTGTTCCTGACTTCGACGCTCGCATCGATAGGAACCACCCCAATCCCCAGTGCCTCCCTTGTTCTCATTATCATGATCGCCAACAGCATCAACGTTCAGGTGACGGGTATGTACGGAGTGATCACTGCCATTGACTGGTTTATGGACCGTTTTCGAACTATGGTTAATGTCACTGGAGATCTCTATGGTGCTGCCATTGTCACCAAGATCACAGGTATCAGAGACCCGATTGTTGACGCTGATGGGACTATAATAGAGACGATTGACGAAGATGAAAATGGAAAGCGAAACAGCCAAGTTTAAATTATGAGAATAAAGCCTAAACAAAAAATGCGAAAAAAAAAAAAAAAATGCGAAAAAAAAGAAGGGGGAATTGCTAGAGATGGAGGAGGGAAGGGATTAATGTATTTAATTAAATACCATACTCTGGAAATATATATATGCAACATTTTCTCCCTAGAGGCGGAGATGCATGAGTAGGAAAATGTTAATTCCGGATTCCACAACAATATACGTAATTCGACCAATTTCCCCCGGAAATATCAGCTTTTGCTCTTGCTGAAGTTATGTGAAGCGAAATTAGGTGTGCTTATGTGTATTTCTGTTTGTTCCTCTCATTTCTGAGATTGTCAAAGTACTGAGAAACATCTTTGGCTAGCAGGTTATGAGGGTACCTATCCGCACGGTAGAATTTGAATTAGCGACTGGGCGCTATGAAGTGGAATGAGGGTTAGAGGAAGATAATGCTTACTCGCTGCGCTTCACTAGCTTTTGAACACAGAGGATATCGCCGTTCCCCAGTTCAGCCCGTTCGAGAGTTGAATTAGGGTCCACGTTGAGGATCATTGAAGGTTTTACTTCCTATGAGCTCGGTGGCAGTGTTGGCTTTGTCCATCAACCATCAACAATTTAATGGTGTGTGAAAGAAAGTGGGGTGAAAAAGATGGGAAAGAAGAAGCGTGGAAAGAGGCTCGTGATGAATACTTACTTCATGAACTGAAAATCTCGAATCTTCTGGCCATTGCATTACTGTGAGGATGTGGGGGCGAACTGTGCTGTCTTTCCGAACGTAGAGGGATGTGACACCGCACAGAGTCTGGTTGACCACGTCGAAATTTTTGATGAATATCAGGATCATGACTCCTCCATCTGTAGTTTGGGGTACGGGGGATGGTATCTTTGTGCCAGCGGGGCTCGTCTCAACCCATATATGTGGGTTGGGCCCGACGAATCCTACATCTAGGCATGCCTGCTCCATGGTAATGTTAGTGCGAAGTAAGGGTTCGTGGGGTCTGCGTGTTCCATTCTGGCGATTGATGCAGATCCATAGGGTACATTGCCCGTGCCCCAATCCCATTTTCTTAGCGACTTTTTGGATTAATTCGCTAGCCAATGTTTCTTTACGGACGCGTAGGGTGGCTGTGCCACTATTACCCACTTTAGGGCTGGTCAAGTCGAATCCGTCATGGAGACTGAACTGGGTGACTGAGGACAGAGTGATTTGCAAGTAGAGGTGTTGCTCTTCCTGCTCCTTTTTCAGACGCTCGGCTGCCTCCTGTTCTTGTAGAAACCCGTTTCCTATTACATTCGTAAAATACATGTTAGAGTGATAAAATGTCCAACTGGAAATGTCGAGAACAACAGAGCAGGCTGCTAGCGAACACGTACTTATAGATTCAGGTACGTCCGCTGTGGTAACATCAGCAAGGATATCATTAATCCTTGATTTGCGGACATATATTAACATATATGCATTCGTAATCCGTCCTTCCCCTCCATAATTGTCTTCAATGGCATTCCTTAGCATGGCACGAGTAACCTGCTCATCGTCAAACTTAAAGAAAGGCATGTTTGCTGCAGGGCGTAAGAACACCCAGTAACGGCCGCGGTAGACACCACCACTGTGAACAACAACACCGGTCAATCGGTAAACCCAGGATTCAGACCTATCGGTGTCGGCTGAAAGATATGGAGATGCATCAAATTCTTCTGGATAAGCGAAGAAATCATTGACTTTCACGAGTTGGCGCTGGGGCATGTCATATGCATATCTCTTTAAATGGAGGTGGAGAACATCAGGCAAGGTTTCAAGGATAACGCCGCTAGTGGTTTTTTGAATACCGTTCGCTCTGTGTTCTTCGCTAACATTTTCGCGGATATATTCTGTCAAGCTTGCTTCGAGGGATTGGATATTCTGGACGTTGATGCTGATATCCCAGAAGTTTTCTATCTTTGACTGTTGGACACCGTCAAGAGAAACATAACTCTTAGTTTTGCCACGAAAGATGCCCGAAAAAGTAGTGTTTTCCACAAATCGATCCATGAGCAGCCGAGTCATCTCATGGACATCTTGTTGCATAAAAAGATGTTTGGGCCCCCATCCAAGTGCTCTGGTGAGCTCCAGTGGGGACGCCGACTGATCATTGGTTTGTAAATGGTAGAACAGGCGTTGCAATGCCCACAGGAAAGTGTTTCCATCTGATTTATCGTCATGTTGCAACTGGTAGGTAGCCTAAGTGCGCACTCTTAGTGTCCCTTGAAATGAACAATGTTTGACTTGCACATGGAACTTGGGCCGGCTTACCTTGCGGAATTTGTTCGTAAAATAAAAACACTGCAGTATAACGTTTAGGTAACCAGTGGAGCCAAGGTTTTTCAAACCAACGAAGCCGGTCGCTTTCTTTGAGTCGTAGCTGCTGGCGCCATTAGAGATTATCTCAGAGTAGTCGACAAAGAGAATGCGCACTTATGAAACGTGTGCCATAGAACTCCGGTGTAATCTCTGATTACGCGAACGTAAGCGGTGATATTGGCCTCGTCGTTACCCAACAACGATGGTTTATCTCCAAGACGGCCTAACAGCTTTCGAAGTTCACAAAACTTTGTGAAGCCCCAATCTGGTTTGTCAACTGTGAAGCGAAAATTTGCCTCTAGAACAATGTAAATTAGACGATGCTGGAAAGAGGTTAGGGTGGATGGATACTTACGTTGTGAAATGTAGGCTTCTGGGCTAGTGGTATTCCACAGGACTAAAGAGAACTGGACACAGGCATTCCAGTGGACCGGTAGTTCTCCTTCATCAAAACCATGCTTAAGGTGGATAGATAAATGCTGGTTCTGCTGATTTCCATATGGGTGGAGGAGAACCCGCCTACTCGTATTAGGGTAGTCCAAAACTCTCTATATAACTTCTTGATTGACGACATACCATTTGGATCCACCGCACTCAAATTTCGGGCCCAGTTCCCTTTTTTTTAATTTCGTCCAGTTTGGTAAACACCAGGTGAAGTGGGATTGATCCGCCGTCTCCAAGGTCGGGTCGATTGGTAGCAACTTGGCCATCATGGCATCATCTGTAATTTCGTAACATGAAATTAACATCACAGTTTTCTCCTTGACCCCTAGATCACGTGTACACAGGAGGGAATCTCGTCCACGGGAGTGTCATGGAGAGGGCAACCATACAATTGTTGGCCAAGGGATTTGGTTCCTATTTGTTAACATCAGTTCGAAAGTCTGTCCCGCTCTTCATGGTGGGCAATTCTCATTTCGGCAAGATTATATCTCACATTTTCCATCGCTTGCGGCTGGCTGCCTTGCGACATTTGGGCAGCCATAAAATGATTGCAACGAAGTTCTGCCTCAATGGCTCTTGGAGAGGGCTCAAGGGATCAAGCAAAACAGCATTCCAGCAAAATCTCACAGGAGAATGTATTTTGGCAGCGCTAAAATTGTCCTATGGTTCCCGGTGGGTGGTGTTTGGGGTTGTCGACTGTGTTTATGTATGGAAGTGCAGGGGGCCGAAATGCGATGTTCTGCAGCATGGCTTGAGTCATCTCGTATCCACAAACTCCGCAGCGCCCAGAGATATGGCCACGCTCGGCGAGGTTCTGTTCTGCCTTGCCTCAGGATCAACAGTGCCAACCTGGACTTCTTTATTAGCTGGGTTGTTTTGAATATGTGGAATGTTCTGAAGCCCCACCAGAATATTTGGTAAATAACTATAATTTTATAAAACTGAATTTTACATTTGATCAAGATTTAATCATGTATGAAAACCTAAAGCAGAGCTGCGTGGTTAGAGAAGCTGATATTCCATTTCTGCACACGTTCAAACGACTGCGCAGAGCCCGGTAACTCACTGGTGATTGTGATACTTCAATTTACGGGTTCATGGGCCGGGACGTAGTTATTCCGTTCCAATCCTGACAATGTAACTAATAATATTGTATCAAGCCGTAATATTCCACGACATCCAGGTTCCTTTTGCACTGAGCCAACCCTTGTTAGTCGTTACTCTCTCTATAGCATTATGGCATAGTGCTACGACGCTATTGCGATGCTGAACATAGAGCAACGCAGGGAATTTGGTCCAGCTTTGGTTCGGGATCTTGATTTTCAAGGGAAACAATGCCGCTTCGAAAACCTCCACCCAGCCCATCCCTCCTCTCACCAACCGCATACGACGACGATGTTGATGCTATTTCTCTGAGATCGTTGTCCGATCAGGACTCTGATTCGGAAGACGATGAACTTATAAAAGGCTCTAGGACAACCCTGGAATTGTCCCAGCATGACAGAACTGTTCTGGAGGAGGAGGAAGAACGTGAGCGGCTTCTCGTTAAGCAAAGCCCAACACATGGGCTACGGAGGATATTCGGTCATGATAATGGCAGCAGCGTGCGCATTGGGAAGCAGGAGAGGAGAAGGCAACGACGTCTACAGCGAAGAGCAGATCGGATAAAGCGTATGGAAGAGAAAGGAGAGGAGATGGGTCTGATGTTCGAGATGGAAGAAGGCAACATTGATGACAATACAAGCTCCCAGTCGTCGGGAGAGTCTTCGATTTTGATTCATCCTAGTTACAAATCGGTATGAAATCCTATGCCCCTGGTTTTGATGCAGACAATGCTGTTTGTCTTGTGATTCTTGGCTACTCTTGCTAATTCATATATCTCCGCTTTAGTCGAGGGGTTCATGGTGTTTCAAGGTATCCATATTATCTACGGGTATTGTGGTTTTATTCCTTATTCTATACTTAGGCGCATACAAGGAATCAAACAGTTTCCGATCCGCCCGCCAGCCACGCACCCTGTTGTCGAATGGCACCTCTCTCTTCGCTCCAACAACGATTTTGATCTCCTTGGATGGATTTCGAGCCGACTTTCTCAATCGCGGTCTTACTCCAGCCCTCAATTCCTTTATCGCCAACGGAATTTCCCCAGCCTACATGCTTCCCAGTTTCCCTAGTGTAACATTCCCAAATCATTTTACACTAGTGACTGGGCTTTACCCTGAAAGCCATGGTATCGTGGGTAATTCCTTCTGGGATCCGGTCCTGCGGGAAGATTTTTATTATACTGATCCGGCAAGAAGCCTGGATCCAAAGTGGTGGACTGCAGAACCAGTGTGGGTGACTGCTGAAAAGCAAGGGGTTCGGACAGCGATTCACATGTGGCCAGGTTCAGAAGCCCACATCGGTAACATTGAACCCACGTACCTTGATAAATTTAATGCAAAAGAGGACTTAGCTAGCAAAGCCAAGAGAATTCTCTCATTTTTGGACTTGCCTGGCGACCAAGAAGCACAGGACCTGTCATCGGATACTGATAGACGACCACAACTAATAGCCGCTTATGTGCCTCACGTTGATTCTGATGGACATACTTTCGGTCCGAATAGTACTGAAATCCGAAGTACATTAGCTCGTGTGGATGAAATTCTTGCAGAAATTTTCAAAGGGCTTCACAGTCGCAATCTGACCGACGTGGTCAATATCGTCGTCGTATCTGACCATGGTATGGCCACTACTTCAACTGATCGTCTTGTCCAATTAGACGATATCATTGATATGGATTTGGTGGACCGCCTTGATGGATGGCCCCTTCAGGGCATCCGTCCCAAAAGACCTGAAGATCTAGAAATACTGAAGCAACAGCTGGCGGAATCATCCAAACAATACAATGACTCTATCGATGTTTACACTCGGGAAACGATGCCTGATCGCTATCACTTCTCCAGTAACGATCGTATTGCGCCGTTATGGGTAGTACCAAAAACAGGGTGGGCGGTCGTTGAAAAGGCAACCTTCAATGTTCAGGATGCGAAAATGAAGAAAACAGTTTATCACCCGAGAGGCCTTCATGGATATGATCACGAACATCCTCTCATGAGAGCAATTTTTGTTGCTCGCGGCCCTAAGTTCCCTCACCACCCCAATAGTCGTGTGGAAAATTTCCGTAAGTTCTACCCCTCTAACAAATCGTACGGCTTAAACCCAACTGAAAGGATGCACGCTAGAAAATACCGAAGTATACAATATCATCTGTGACTCCTTGGAAATAGAAGCCCACCCAAATAACGGAACCCTCCGCCTCCCTCTAAATCCTATTGGTTTTCATTCCCCCGAAGACTTTCCAGGTGCTAATTCATCAGATGATCCTCCCATTAATACAGGCCCTAGCAGTGCTGTTATTACCTCCAAACTCCAAATAACTGCTTCCAGCAATTCGCCAACCACGATACTGAATTCTGGCTCACCGGATCCTACATCCACGCCCAAACATGGCGAAAATGACACCAGCGCTTCGACGAGCTCGTCATCATTGTGGGACAAATTTCTCGATAGAATCGAATGGTTAAAGAATTGGGCCCAAGGGTTTCTAGACTCTGTTGATAGATAGCGTACGATACTCCATACCTCATTTCATTTTCGATTTTCCCTCGAGGTATAGTATCTCCTCCCATCCCCTTGTTCGTTTCATATGCTACCATGCTTTTTTGTTTGCATCATGCACGATACCCAACGCGGCATTTACCATTTGCAAATCATGGCATTACATTAAATTTGTTTAGCTTTCACACTGCTCGCATCCGGGTATATTTTTGCCTTTGGTTTTGACTTCCTTTTTCTTCATTTGTTTTGGCTCTTTCCCCTATTTTCCATTTCCATCCTATAGGCTCCCTTGCGTTAGAAAATTCCTGCTTCTATTTAGTAGACTTAATTCGTCCGCGGACGTGATATCTAGAATATTTGGTTGCCATCCAACTTTCTTCGCTAATTTTCCTTTTTCTTCTTTGCTTTCATTGGCAAACAGGAGTAAGGATGAGAGTTACATGGTAAGGAACCCCTATTTCAACCATTGCAGACGAAATTCGCCTATGTGAAAAAAGAAAAGCTGCACGGCTCAAATTATCTGTTTCCTCGCATAGTTATATGGTCTAATGATAGGGTAACCATCATCCTGGGCTTTACCCATGAGTGGCCATGAATTCCAGGCGACTGGCGAATGCCACAACATCCACCACCTCCTCTGGGGTGAACAACATCATATCCACAGCTGGAGACAACCTGGGTGGGTCTCCACCTCATTCGGCTGGTTTGGACCCCTGGTGATTTGTACATATTTGGGGGTGGCCACCAATTTGAGGCCAACTCAGTCTGATGGATGTCCCCTTATAGGGAGTGGCATTGGGGCAGCAGAACCCTCGCCATTGCCATAAGGTTGACCACCGCTTCTGACACTATTCCCTTCTGGTTATACATGAATTGCGTGGATTTAATAACTGGCATTCTCATGGCCTCCGAACTGAGACGATGGTCCCTCCTAAGCATGTGATGGCCATTTGACCTCGAGGCGCGTCCAGTCCTCGCACCCGGTTGTCCGTATAGAATGGGAGGTGCGGCTGGCCTGCTGGCGGCCGCGGTTCAAGACCCTCTTCTAACTTGGTACACTGTCTTCAACCGCATGTTTTCGTGGAACTATGGAGATGTGAGAGAAGCTGTAGAATCCGAATTTAGATGGAGTCTGGCAAGACCTGACGGCTGTTATGGACCTAATCGACTCCTTGCGTGTCTGGTCTCCCCATCCCTCACTTCTTTACCACTCAACACGGAGAGGATTTCGGAACCACCAAGACTAGGACGCTACTAGTTCCTCTCTCTAGGGGCTGTTGAATGGTTCACAAGATTAATGAGCGGATTGTCCTGAAAATACCCCAAGTTACGATGCTTGCGGCTCTCTCGTTGAGGAACACCGCGCAACCCCACAATTGCGCACGGCTTTCTAGTGTTCCCAGGTAAATTCCTTCCATGTCTTAGTGGCGGCCTGCTAAATTAGTACCTTCGAGTGCGCATTATGCTCGTGAAGGCTATGGCTGTTGCGATTGCATCGACATGCTCATGACGAAGGAGCCTGCTGATCTAGTCAAAAAATAGATCATGGAACTAGCCGATAATACAGTCTGGTTGGAATCTCTTGGATATGCTTATATTGATATCCGACCTCCGAATCGGGTGTAAGCTGCTCTCAGAGGAAAACAAAGGGCAGCGCCGAGGCGGTAAACAGCACATTCAACAGTATGTAGGAGATGGCGAAATGCATGTCAACGGATCCTTCAGCCTGGGGGTGGGAATTCTTGAATTCCCATATACAAAGGAGCATTCCTGATAGATACTAGAAGTGTGGGATTGGATTCTAATGTTTGTGACAGAATAACAACACAACTTCAAAGAACGTATTTTCTGTCTGTTTCCAAACGAGAAAAGACGGGTCGCTCATTAATTTAAATAAAAGAAAATAATGGAAGAAAACAAGGGCAGATCAGGTATTGAGCTGCAGATATGGCCTGCGCAGAGGTCATTGTTGCAATTGAATCAAAGACTCTCAATTGTGAGTTCTAACTCATGATAGCGGCCGTGTTGTCACGGCCCGTGACGCACTTTTCTAGAAGGATAAGGAGGGAGAGATAGGAATGGGCTTCTTTGCCACAAATCTTGAAATCCCTTCTGACTAAAACTCGGGAACAATCTCGCTGCAAGGATTTGGTAGACCAAATTATATCATGCCGACTCTTCAGCGAAGAGAATCGGTTTGATGTGGATCACGTAAGAGGTGCATACAGTACTTCATTATCTAAGGTATGGCGGTGCAAAGATATACTTTACCTTTGTGCTGTGGTCTGTTGTTATACATACATATGGGGTTGTTTGTCAACATCCTTTCATAAACGGTGCCAATAAAATAAATAAAATAAAATAAAATAAAATAAACCCCCCAAAAAGCCCCGAAATGAATTCTCCAGGTGATGTCACTGCTTTGTTTTGGGGTCCCCCAGCATCCAAAATTTTTTCTCAACTCTGTATTCCGGTTTCACGTTTCATCAAGATAATCTGATAACAAAAACTATGTACAGTACATACAGTACAGTAGTCTTCCAAGGTTCGTTCCATGGGGGCTATGTTTTTTGGGCCCGTATTATATATAATACACGCATTTGATACATACGATACGGTTGTATTGAAATGATTCCATACGCGTTACTCCGTATGTTTCAAAGGATCCACATACTCGGAAAATTGACGAATCGGAGAGTAATACCAGGGCAAACGGATCAGATAACCCCTTTTCCCAACAAACCTCGGATCAGATAACAAAACGGCAAACAAGGAGGAGCGCCATCTCCGGCTGCAAAAAAATATCGCCATGCGTGATTCGGGGTATAATTACGGAACTGTATAGTACTTACCCTACTTGCGTCGAATCCACTTGTGATTCTTTCAAGTTTGCGATACCGGATTTAGTTCCGTCGTAGCAATTGCAAGTCATAAAATTGTCGCAAGATGTTTTTGTTGGGGCATACTCCTCCCACAATGGGAAGACCTGTCTGAATGTCTAATTCTGCTGCTGTCCTACAATCGACCATATCATGCTATCGCTCTTCTATCAGCGTATATCCACCTATATCAAATTATCCGCCTCATCACTTCTCAGCGTTCTCCGTCTCTACAGGCCATTCCAACGTCGGCGTCTTACCATGCCTAGTAACGAGGGATCTACTGGCTCGTCCAGCACCACAAGACCGAAAGATGTCCTTGTGGTAGGTGGTTCATATTCTGGGCTTGCGGCAGCTCTGAACCTCCTGGATCTATGCCAAGGTCGAAATTGCCGATTTGCTGGCGCCTTGGATCCTGAGATTCCTGAACCAGCAGAAAGGGGAGAGAGAGTCCCTGTCCAAATAACCATAGTGGATGAACGAGATGGCTACTGTAAGTCCACTCGCAGCACTCCATCAAATAACCGAAACTGAGTAAGTAACAAAACGGGAATCGTTGTAAAAGTCCATCTTATTGGGACTCCACTAGCGTTTGCGTCGGAAGAGTATGCCCTGTCGGCCTGGAGAAAGTTCGCAGACATTCCCGCCCTACAGACGCCAGCTATAAAATTCATACAGGGTAGCGTCACTCGTGTGGACTGCGAGCGAAAAATCTCCACTATCAAGGAAGCTGGCACCAACAATGAGATCAGCCGGAAGTATGACTACTTGGTTGCAAGCTCTGGGCTGAGACGAACTTGGCCAAGTGCTCCTCAATCTCTGAATAAGGATAACTATTTGGAGGAGGTAGGGGAGCATATTGCGAAAATCAAAATGGCAAACGGTGGCGTCGTAGTCATCGGCGGTGGTAGGTTTTCAAATCCACATTACGATACTCCATTGGCACAGATGTGGACTGCATTGACGAGGTGAATGATTTCTACAGGAGCCGTCGGCATCGAAATGGCAAGCGAGCTGAAAGAGATGCACCCAGACCTAAGGGTCACCCTTATCCATTCAAGGGCCAAACTTCTGTCATCGGAACCTCTTCCTGATGAATTTCGTGATCGGGCCCTTGAACTGCTTCATGAGACTGGCGTCGAAACCATTTTGGGCTCACGGGTAATTTGCACAACCCAAACTGAGCTAAATGGGGCGGCAACTCCAAGCTATACTCTTTCATTAACAGATGGGCGGACTATTAAGGCAGGCTATGTCATCAATGCCATCTCAAAATACAGTCCAACAACAGCATACCTGCCTAGCAACGTCCTGGACAAAGAGGGCTATGTGAAGGTTAATTCAGCGTAAGGAGCATCAACACAAATAGCAAAGTAACAAAATGGAAATATTTACCGCTGCTAACACAAACCAAATAGTCTAAACTTCACCGATGAAGTTCCAAATGCAAAATACCACTTCGCGGCCGGGGACCTCGCCCTGTGGTCTGGCATCAAACGGGCCGGCCGGGCCATGCACCACGGACACTACGTCGGGATGAATATCTACCAGCAACTGCTAAATGAGCGGTTTGGGACGAAGCCTAAATTTTCCGAAATGGCGCATGCGCCGCCGTCTATGGCGGTGGCAGTGGGGAAGAACACTGTCGCATATGGGGCTGAGCAAGGCGTGGTGTCAGGAGAGGAAATCGCCAAGATCTTCTTTGAAGATGATTTGGGATTTGGAAGTATGTATCCTTCGCCTCCCTTCTATTTTATGAGGTAACTATGTTTATTGCGTAGTCGATTGTTTACTAATTGTAATATGTGTAGTTTGCTGGAGGTATTTGAAGCTTGGAGAGGCGCCGAAATGACTATAGGCTATGTTGTTTTGGTGCCTGGGAGAGATGGTAAAATTTCATACAGAGGACAGCATTTTACTAGTTAATCAACGGGATATATATATATATTTCATCTCTGATAAACTAGTTGAATTCTCCTATTTCCAGGGGTTATATTGAGCAGTTATATTTTAATTTGCGAGCGAGGGGAAAAGAGATGGAGTTTAAACGTGGAATATAAACTTGGCTCTGGATTATTGCAAAATGAAGTAAAAGAGTAGTTAGTTACTATAAATTCAGAAAGTCAGATCTAAAATCACTTCGATGCAAAACCTCTATGTTTTTTTATTTAAGTTCCCCGCACGCAAGCACAAACACCCGGTAATAAATTGACAACATCAACTGCTGTTTGTCCCATGTTACTCGAAGGCCTGATGTAATGCATTGATTTTATAACTTTCGCTCCGTTCCACTAACTCTGCATGGGTGCCTTTATCAGTGCATCTTCCATCTTCGATGAGGAAGATGGCATCTGCTTTCTGAATCGTATATAGCCTATGCGCGATGGCGATAACAGTCATTCCTTTGGTGGCTTTCTCTAAGCCGGCCTGGAGAAGCTGTTCGGATTCTGCGTCGAGGGCACTTGTCGATTCGTCCAGGAGAAGCAGCTGAGGTTTCCGGACAAGTGCGCGGGCAATTGCGAGTCGCTGTTTCTGCCCGCCTGACAGCTGATTTCCGCTGGGTCCACAGTTAGTGTTATACCCTTCCGGCAAGTTAATAATGGTGTCATGAATATTTGCCAACCGGCAAGCTTCTTCAATTTCTGCATCTGTGGGCTTGTGGCCAGGGCGAGCTCCAAGGGCAACATTGAACCGGATAGTGCCTTCGAAAAGCACGCTGTCCTGTGGGACAAGAGCGATGTTATCACGGAACGATGCTCCTTCACGGGTTGAGATGTCTTGGCCATCGATGTGGACACTGCCTGAGGTTGGTGTGTATAACCTCTCGATTAGAGATACGATGGTTGATTTGCCTGCGCCGCTTGGACCGACTAACGCCGCAAACTGGCCCGGTTTAATATGAATATCTAAACCATCAAGGACTAGAACGTCTTGACGCGCTGGGTACGAGAACTTCACGTTGTTCAGGGAAACACTGATACCTCCCTGACTTTGATCGGGACGTTTCTCTCGTGGCTCGGCGTTGGCTTCTAAGTCATTGCCCGGTTTCAGACGCTGGCATGGACCAGAGAGATTCTTGGTCGATCCGAGGTCAAGGAGGTTCAGAATTCGAGCGAGCGCGGTGAAGGCACGCGACACATCTGGAGCTAGTGTGAACATTTGGCCCCAAAGCTGTGCGCTCACGAGGAGAGCCATGAGCACAATAAAGAACTGCGTCTGCGAGTAATCGCCTGCAATAATTCTCTTAGCTCCCCACCAATAGGCAAGCGCATACAAGAAATTGCTCGCGCCGTACGAAATTGCTAGCCAAAGGTTGGCATAGGCGCTTTGCTGCGCAATTTCCATTGTCGGGCCTTTTAGGGAGCGTCGATAGGTTTTCAAAATTTCGTGTTCCAGAGAAAGAGCAGAGATGGTCTTGATCGAATTGACGGCTTCAACTGTTATTCCAAGCGATTTCTCAAACGCCCTGGCATGGCGCTCTTGAAACTGCGTCATTTTTATGACTCGCATCACACCCGCGCCCAGCATCAATGGGACAACAGCGAGGCAGACCAGCGCAATCTTCCATGCAATTACATGGGATAACGAAATTGCGACGACCAGATTTACTAGTATAGCAATAATAGTACCTACAACCGATCCCGTGAGACCAGATAGGGCATTACCATCTTGGGTGATGATTGAAAGGAGGACGGTAGGACTTCTTCCATCCGACTGATGCCACTGCAAGTCCTGCTCCATGAGGGCCCTGAACGAGAGAACTCGAACTTTGTAAGTAATTTTCTCTGCAACCCAGCCAAATGCTGACCAACTTCCCAGATTAGCGAAAAACTCGATAATGGCGAGGATGAAAAACATCAATCCGTAAAATTTACCAGCAGACCTGATGGAATCTGCAGTTTTGCATGGGCTCAACCCACCAATCGTGTTGCCGAAGACAACTGCAGAGGCTGAATATGTGCCACCAACTACGAAAGCGCTGGTCAGTGCTAGGAAAAGGAAGAGCATATGCGGCCGCAACATTGGACCCACGGCTTTCAGGGTTGACGATAAAGACCGTTTCGCATTAATACCATCGCTGTTGTCTTCTCCTTTCCGCGCAGATGTCTCCAATGAGCGTCTTTCGTCAAGACTAGCTTCGGCAGCCTTCTCGATTATGTTGTCGTAGGAGTCCTTTGTTGCCAATGACTCACTCGAAACATTCTCTTCCTCAGGACGAATATTCAGATTCTGCAGACGAACTAGACCAGCGTATGCGCCATCGCTTGATATCAACTCCGAGTGAGTCCCCTGCTCAACAACTTTCCCTTGATTCATAACGATAATATTGTCGGCATTCTTTACGGCGGACAGACGATGGGCAATGGATATTAACGTCCTTCCGCTCATTATCTTCTCAATCGCGGATTGGACACGTTGCTGACTAGTAGAATCTAGAGCGGCGGTCGCTTCATCAAGAATCAAAAGTTTAGGCTTTTTAACTAAAGCACGAGCAATGGAAATTCTTTGTTTTTGACCTCCTGATATCAGGATACCTGCAGAACCGACAAGAGTACCATACCCATCCTTTAGACGACCGATAAAAGCACTCGCATCAGCGAGATCTGCCGCATTACGCACCAGATCTATGATTTCTGCAGTCTCTTGACCATGAATCTCTGCTTCTTCCATTAGATCCCGTCCATTCCTGACGGCAGTTGCAATATCGGAAAGATTACCTCCAAGCAAGGCTGGGGACAGGTGAGAGTGAGATGGAGAATTAATCAGTCCCAAGGCAATATTCTCAAGGATGGATCGGTCGAGGAGTGACGGCTCTTGCTGGACAAGACTGAGATTGCTTCGCAAAGATCGAACGTTGAGATCTTTGATGTTCCGCCCAGCAAAAGATATTTCCCCATTTGTTGGGTCATATAATCGTGCTATTAGGCCGGCTACGGTCGACTTCCCGCTCCCGGATAGACCAACGATTGCGGTGTGTTGTCCAGCTGCACATGACATCGACACATTATCTAGCACAGGTTTATCTGGCCGGGACGGAAATGCAAATGAAACATTATTCAGCTCAATATTACCAGAAACGTTTCGGAGAGAATTTCCAGTGCCTTCAACTGTGCCATCTATTTTCGGTTCCCGGTTGATATCGGCTTCCAAACTTTCGAAGGTCACTCCTGCAGCATCGGAGACTTGAACAAAAGGAGCGACTTGGCTAAGGATCAAAGTAGCTTTTAAAACTTCAGTTAGCATACGGGGTACGGGATACTTTAATATTGAATATCTCACCATCGACCAATAAAAAAATCACGGTGTATGTAGTCCCGACTGATGATCCAGGGCTACCGGAGGCAACTGCATCCGCGATCGTTTTCGAGCCTTGCCAGAATGCCAATCCATTTGCGGAGAATGCAATAAAATACAGCAATCCCGACTGGACAGCAATAGAAATTGCCTTACTAATTCCAGCTACCTTTGCATTGCCCAGCAGGCCTGCAAATTTCGATTCTAACTGAGCGTTTGCCGAGAATGCATGCACAATTGTTGCGTTTGACAGTGCTTCCATCGCAACGGATGATGCTCCAGCAACGTTTTTCAGCATAGCCGATGCGTATTTCTGAGTATAGTAACCGCCAACAAGCGACATTAGCAAATAGGCTGGCGTTAGAGACACTAACTCCCCACCAAGTTTTGCATCTTTGACGAAAGCGATGATATAAGCGGTGATGAAAAACGATACACTATTGAGGACAATGCCTACTTTCTCCGATGTCCCCTGTTGGATTGTCGTTATGTCGCTCGTGAGTCGGGAGGCAGCTTCTCCAGCTGGCATATTATCGAAGAATGAAGCATCCTGCCGTAATAGACTTTTGAAATACCGCTCACGAAGTCTTTGGGCCAGGCGCTCACCAAACAAATTCCACGAAGCGACATAGATATATACCAAGACAAAGTAAGCGATTCCGACATAGACGACTTTGAGTGCCTTGCCATTGACTTCTGATTGATATGCTGAGCCTCTTTGAGAATCGGTGTTGCAAGATGCAGAATTAAGATTGTCAACCAATTGGCCGAAGATAATACCCATCAGAGGGAATGGGCACTCTTGAAGCAATCGCGGCTAGTATACCAAGTGTGAGGAGAATAAGGTCAACGGTTGTCGGCTCTGCATAAACGAGAAGGCGGACATATGTAGTGGCCCTTCGAATAATCTATCCAGTCGTCACAGAGTTAGCTGTGCTTATAACATTTATATTTGAGATGATTATCAGTACCCTTCGGCTCTTCGCAGTTTTTGACTCCCCGGCAGCCAAATCTTCAGACGCCTCAGTCATATCTGTGCTTGGTAGCGGGGGAACAAACTCCTCTGCTCAAGTACCGCGATTTCCAATTGCGAGTTTATGAAAGCAAACGCCAGGAAGAGTTGATTCATGGCGAGAACGGAAAGTGGCTCTCGATGAAGCTTGATGTCTCCCCCAGGCGGATGGCCCTCAATAGCTCTGGGGATTCTAGCCCTCATACTGCGAGGTCTCTCTTACTCTCATTTGTTCTAGTTTCGCGTTTTGTGGGCCAATTGCACCAATGCCGTCGGGGAAAGGCACAGTAGCGTTGTGTGAGGTGGTATGATGTTTGGATACGAACCTTATCAGATGCGTATTTACTTCGGAAATGGTTTGTATATAATACGATAGCGTGGGGACGGTGGAAAACGCCGAAATACCGTTACACAACGTCAATAGCGTCCACATGGGCAGGATCAGATAACTCTAGTGAGCGGGACCCCGGTATCGGAGATTGGTTCCGTCTTATCAGATCATACGATGTCTGCCCCGCCAAGCAGCCGCATTTTGTTTTGATCCCCAACAGGAATTGCTCTGTCAATCGTTATCCAGGGAAAGAAAAAACTCTTACATCCCCTTGCCCCATGATCATATCTCATACCCACATTAATTTCTGGTTCCGTGCTTTAGTGGAGCTCTATGCCGCCCATGCAGAACTGGGCTCACACAAATTTCCACGGGTAGACTCGGCTTGAGTGGCATCATCATCATAATCATCATCATCCTGGATTCGGTTCTTTCCCCACTGTACGTCACGCCGTAGTTCGTACAAGCCGTTTCGATTCTTATTACAATGGAAATCGTACGAAATGGTTTGCAAAATTTCCCGTACAACGGTGACGGAAATGTCTCTGCTAGAGATCAGCGGGAACAAAAAGATGTGGACCCCCCCGCTGTAACTTACCATATTTCTGACAGACCTGTAAGACGCTTTCGCTCTCTACAGTTAGGTGATGGTACTGACGCAGGGAAGTGTTGAACGGAAAATGATTGAAGAGCGCAGCTCGTGCAGGACTGTTGAGATTCGCGGGAGATATACGAGAAAGGGAAAGTATAAAATTAGCCCGGTGCAAAAGGTACACCATCTTCTCCATATCTGTCTATAGATTATGAGGGGATAAACCTCGCCTCATGAAGGTAGACAGTAATACGGAAGACGATTGTCCATTGATTCCAGTCATGAACACGCACTTACCTGCTTGCAACGGCAATAAGGTCGATGGGAATGCCCAATTTGACTGCTCTGCAAGTGGTCGAGAAACAGATGGAGTTATTATGGAGAATTCCCTCTTATTTCTCAAGGGTTTTGAGGATCAGATTGATCTTTTAGTTTTGGCCTGGACTTTATTCCTGTACCGAGATAATGGTCTCAGCGATGATGGAGAATTCTCATGGAGTCTGAAGGTCGCACCAACCGATGAGAATTCGATTCTAAAAGGTTTCTCAAGCAATATCAATGAAATCGTTTTGGCGGAGAGCGACCCCGTAACGAAAGCACTCGCCTCCATTCGCGCCAGACGGACCACTACCTCAAATAGCGAACATACGCAACCATCCACCTACTCCATTTTGTTCATGATTACCACTCAAACAGTGAATGGCAGTGAAGATGTAAGTATTATTGACGTCGTGACTGCTCTTGATTCTCTCGGCTAAATCGAGTATGCAGCTGCCATTTTACGTCGAAGTACTAGCATCGAATCCGAAATTATTGATGAAGCAACACGGCCAACATGCCACGCTATCCTTGCATGCTGTTCACATCCAGTGCTCCGGATTCATGGATATTCTCGACTCAATCCTCAAAAGCACAGACCAGACAATCGGGCAGGCCATGCAGCTTGGTGACCGCGAATTGCAGCAATTGTGGAAATGGAATGTATCCGTCCCTCAAACACTTGACGACTGTATCCATGATATTTTTGTGGAAAAGGCGCGAAGGGATCCTAGTCGTCAGGCGGTTGTTTCGTGGGATGGCGAATTGTCTTACGGAGAAGTTGATCAGTTTTCGACGCTGCTGGCAATTCATCTCATTAAACTAGGTGTCAAATTTGGAAACCATGTGTTACTTTTGTTTCGAAAAGTCAATGTGGACTGTTTGTTGCAGTGCTTCGCCGTTATGAAGTCAGGCGGCACGTTAGTGCTTCACAGACCCCGAGTCAACCTGAGGGCGCGATTGCAGACAATAGCGACAGAAGTGGGTGCGAATCTGATGTTAACTTTCTGAACGGTCAGAGAAGTTGGGAAAGAGAATTTTAGCTGGAGGCGTTATTGTGGTTAATCGTGATTTTTTCCAACAAATCCAGACGTCAGTACTGCCGCCAGCTTCTGCAACCGACCTACCATCTGTTCCTGGGTCTTCTCCCCTATATACCATTTTCACATCAGGAAGTACAGGAAAACCAAAGGGTGTGGTTATATCACACACGAATTATACTAGCGGCGCTTTGCCGAGAGCTGAAGCTGTAGGCTATGGCCCACACTCACGGGTACTCGACTTTCCATCTTACGCTTTCGATGTCAGTATTGATTGCATGTTATGCACTCTCGCCCACGGAGGGTGTGTCTGTGTGCCATCCGAAGACGATCGAGTGAACAATCTTAGTGGCGCAATAAGAAATATGAAAGCCAACATGGCTCATATGACACCGTCCGTCGCAAGGGTCCTCGGAGAAGATACTTTGTCTTCTCTTGAGGTTCTAGGTCTTGGGGGCGAATCCGTTTCCGTTCGAGATGCGGCAAACTGGGGCAAATTGACAAAGGTTATTATTGCCTACGGGCCGTCAGAGTGCACGGTTGGCTGTACAATTAACAATGAAATCGCACTTGATCGAGCATATACTAGCATCGGGAAGGGTGTTGGTTGTGTTACATGGGTGGTGGACCCAACTGACCATAATCGTCTGACGCCTATCGGAGCAATTGGCGAGCTTATTATAGAGGGTCCGATTGTGGGGCGGGGGTACCTTAACGACCCCGAACGGACTTCATCTGTATTCATTGAAGACCCAATGTGGCTGCTTTCCGGTTGCCAAGGATACCCTGGAAGACATGGACGTTTCTATAAAACGGGAGATCTAGTCAAATATGATCCAGATGGCTCGGGCTCAATAGTTTTTGTGGGCAGAGGTGACCAGCAAGTAAAGCTCAGAGGGCAGCGAGTAGAGCTCGGAGAGGTGGAACACCACTTACGGACCAGGCTACCAGCTGGAAACGTCGTTGCTGTGGAGGTTATCACACCAGGAGGGAAAGGGGATCAGCCAACCTTGGTCGCCTTTATCGCAGAGAAAACCACCACAAAATCCCAGACAAATAAAGAAATAGCGACCTTCTCCACGGAGCTCCGTCATTCTCTAGAAGTGATGGATAAAGCGCTTGGGAGTGTGCTTCCTCGGTATATGGTGCCAGCAGCATATATACCTCTACTTGAAATGCCATTACTCGTATCGTGTAAAGTAGACCGCAAGAAGCTACGCAGTCTTGGGTCTGCCATGTCAAGAAAAGAGCTTATTAGGCATAAGGCTTTCTCATCACAGAAGGAGCCGCAATCAGAGAAGGAGCGACAATTGGCACATCTCTGGAAAGGTCTATTCGGCGCTGAAGCGGAGATTGATGTACAGAGCAATTTCTTCGACTTAGGAGGAGATTCTCTCATGGCAATGAAACTGGTGGCCGCTGCACGCGCGGAAAACCTTCTCACCAGCGTAGCTGATATATTCCGGCATCCAATCTTATCCGAACTGGCTATAACCCTAAAGCATTCTGATTCCGAAGCGGAAATCGATGTGCCGCCATTTTCCCTCCTGGATTCACACTGGAAAGAGAACAATGCGCGCATCGAAACGGCAAAACTCTGCGGGATTGACGCAACATCAGTCATGGATGTCTACCCTTGTACGCCATTGCAAGAAGGCTTGATGGCCCTTTCTGCCAAAGTCAGCGAAGCGTATGTTGCTCAGCGAGTTGTCGAGCTAGCAGATTTCCAAACCGCACAGCGGCTCCAAAGGGCGTTCGAAACTGCAGCTGCAGACTCCCCAATATTACGCACACGCATAGTGCAGGTTCCCGGTCGTGGTCTCATGCAGGTTGTTTTGAAAGATGGGATCACATGGCGTGCAGGCACGACCCTAGAGGAGTACTTGGTTAAAGACCGGAATGAATCAATGGGATTAGGCACACCGCTCGCGCGTTTTGCAGTTACTTCAAATGAGACAACAGGCAAATTCCATTTTGTCTTGACAATACATCATGCTTTGTATGATGGTTGGTCTATGCCATTGGTAGTGCGGCGCGTTAATAGGGCGTTTAACAACCAAGAATCAGAAAGATCAGTCGCTTTCAACTCCTTTATTAAACACCTCAGCGGCCTCAACCATAAAGATTCCGAGATATACTGGAAGGAACAACTGCAAGGCGCGAATGGTTTGCAGTTCCCAGCTCTCCCGCGGGCTAGATACCAAACACAGGCTCAATCGCTATTGGAACAATACTTCCTGCTAGGGAAGACATCGGCATCAAGTACCAGCATTGCGACCTCTATCAGAGCAGCCTGGGCTTTGGTTGCAGGAAAATATACCTTATCCGATGATGTCATATTTGGAGAAACTCTTACAGGGAGAAATGCACCTGTTGTTGGTATTGAAAAAATCGAAGGGCCCATGATTACCACCGTCCCCGTGCGGGTACGGATTGACCGAAATGCACGCGTTAGCGAGTATCTACGAACAGTCCACGATGACAGTATACTTCGTATCCCCCATGAACACATGGGGCTGCAGCATATCAGACGTCTGACCCCTGACGCGCGCGAAGCTTGCGAGTTGAGGACCGGCATTGTCATTCACCCAACCACAACGGAGGATAGCACGAGCCTGACGGGAGATGGACCAGCCAATGGTTTTGTCCCAGCCGGAGATGAGGACGCTGCCCGCGAGGCATTGAAATTCAATACGTATGCTCTTATGTTGGTTTGCTCGTTGGATCCCAAAGGTTTCCTGGTTATGGCCAGCTTTGATTCGGCCACAATTGACGTCTGTCAAATGGATAAGGTGTTGGGGCAATTCGGACAAACCGTACAACGACTATGTGAAAATGGGAATTCTCTTGTCAGCGATTTGCTACCAATGACAGACGAAGAGCTAGCTGAGATATGGCGTTTCAGCAATACCTACAAACCAAATAGTGGAGATGAGGTAGTTTTGGGTCATGACTACTCGGATGCAACTGCAACTTGGATAGTTGCTCCTGAAGATTCGGAACAGTTAGTCCCGCTTGGGGGAATAGGAGAGCTCGTCATCGAAGGGGATTTCCCAACAAACACTTCCATTCAAATCAGCGGTACCAAATGGCTTTCTGCTGGTCATCGGGATATTCCAGGAAGGCAAGCGACCCTTCATAAAACGGGCCAGTTAGCCAAGTACAACAGTGATGGTTCGTTAGTGATCCTAGGGGGAAAGGGCGGCAATATCAAACCTGACATGGAAATTAAGAAACCGGAAGCCAAAAGTCAGTCACAAGTGACAACTCCCAAACAACAGAAGTTACGAAAGCTCTGGGCACGCGTCCTTGGGATTAGTGAGGACGAGGTTGGCTTTAATGACAGTTTCTTTGACCTCGGCGGCGACTCTATTAGCGCTATGAAATTGGTGTCGGAGGGAAGATTGGAAAATCTCGAATTGGTAGTTATGCAGGTTTTCCAGCATCGTCGTTTTCACGATATGGCGGATATTGCGAAGGAGTCGCTACCTCTCCAAGTAGCTACGAAACAATATAGTCCATTTTCGACTCTTGACGTCTCAGATGTTGATACCTTTATTTCTGAATCTATCCACCCCTCGCTTATGAACTCAAGCTGGAAAGTAGTAGACGTCCTTCCTGCACGTCCTCTCCAGGAGATCGCCGTGGATGGGACAATCAACCTTCCCCGGTATTCTGCACGGTACGAATTATTCTACTTGGATGCAGCTGTCGACCAGTCGCACCTATTCAAAAGCTGTCAGGAACTCATATCTCGCAACGAGATCCTACGGACGATTTTTGTCAAGTCCGGCGGTTCTTGTTTCGGTGTTGTGATAGAGGAACTACAACTTCCCTTAGATGAATACCAAATAGACGGCGACCTGACAGCTTTTGCGGAGCAGCTTTGTGGTCTTGATATCCAGACGGTGATGCCACTTGGATCCCCTTTCATAAAGTTCTTCTTTGTCCAGAGTTCTAGTGGACTGAGTTGCCTGATCATGCGTATTTCCCATGCTCAATATGACGAAATCTGCCTCCCCATTTTACTTCGTCAGCTTTCCGCTTTATACGAGGGCGAGCTGGTTCCTGCAGGCTTACCTTTCTCGTCATTTGTCCACCACATCGTCAGAAACAACATCCCACAAAGCATAGAATACTGGCGACGCCTGCTCCGAGGTTCCTCTATGTCAGTTCTGCGCCCATCAACGCCGTTAATCAGCAAAAAGTCGATTTTTATATCCAAAACGTTTGATATCTCATCACGTTCGAAAGAAATCACGCTTGCCACTCTTCCTACAGCTGCATGGGCACTATGCTTGGCTCGCCGTTTGTCCATACGTGACGTCACATTCGGAGAAGTTGTCAGTGGTCGCAACATCGATTTCGCCAATTGTGACACGGTGGTAGGACCTACTTGGCAGTACATTCCAGTAAGAGTCAAGTTCAAGTCTGGTTGGACGGTAGTCGACCTGCTCAACTTTGTTCAACATCAGCACATCTCAAGCACGCCGTTCGAAGGCATAGGGCTTAAGGAAATTGTTCGGAAATGTACAGACTGGCCCGAGACGACGGAATGGTTTGACTCTGTCGTACATCAAGACGTTGAGCATGTGGAGAGCCTACGTTTGTTGTCAGCCAATAGCCGAATGGATACTATTTACCCACACCTGGAGCCTCTTCGTGAGTGGAAAATACAGGCTTTCCCGAAAGGGGACAGCTTATGTATCGAGATCGTCACATTTGAGTCCTGGAGAGCAGAGGCCGATTCTATCCTCAACGAAATGGGTGACATTATCTCGCTGCTGGTGACCAAACCAAATTCAACATTGTTTCGGACAGACGTGATGGAAGAGAGCACTCCACCTACGAGCTGATGGAAAATTTTTCGTCTGTCCCACGAAATAGCTAGGTTGGGGTATAGACACTGAAACATCTCTTGACATCTACGGAGTATATCCATGGGGGTTTCCAGAAATCATGCCAATTTTGGCTTCCTGCTATCTCGTATAACATGTCTTTTTTTTTTTTTTTTTTTTTTTTTTGGTCCTTTCCCTTCTACCCACACTCACCAGGGGGTTTTCTCTAAAGTAACAAAAATTTGATGATGTTATTTCTGTTTCAAAAGTTACCGTGCCCAATTTTTTGCTCCTTTTTTTCTTCCCCTTTCCTTTCTTTCTTGCTCCTTGTTAAAAGTCTATCAGATCAACAAATTGAATCACTATTACTAAATTCTTATTTATTGTGTCATGTAGTGAGTGAATGCTTTTGTCAGTTGACAACTTAGTTATCATGCATGAGCTCTCATTTGTAAATATGGAAACCTAAACTCCTTCTAGTCCCCTGTTTCAATTAACCGAGCCAAATCTTACTTCCCGGTGCAAGTTAACGCGGCATATACATAGACACAGCAAACTGAAGTGGACAAATGATGAGACACCGTACCACCCGCGCTATCACTGAACCTCTAATGATGAACCAGCTGACGAGTCGAATTGATATCCCTTTCCAGCTCTGCCGTGGGTTCGTACCATCTCTTCTTATCCCTCGAGAACAATCCTTTGACATCAAGCGGATCTAGTATCTTCTGCAGCAAAGGGCGAGAATCGGTGAAAGCGCCCTCGATTGTTTCGTTGGCTCTCTCCTGTCCATCAATGCCCACGTATACCCGCGAGTCAATTGGGAGAATGTGGCCAGGGTGGAAAACATTGAACATCGTGGTGTTCAGCAACATCAGAAATGCCTCACATATGAGGAAAGGCTGCTCGTTTGTACGAAACGAGTGGCCTTCGGGAACAAATGTTTCTAGAAGCAACTGAGCTCAGCCTCGGAAGACGCCGCAATGGGGTTCGAAGCAGTAACACCAACTGGAAGAAAGAAATACCTGCAATATGGTAGGCGGATCGTATAATAATAAATATCGAGGATGCGTAAAGAGAGTACACAACCATCATAAATCTTCTACCCGTACCACCATTCGAGGTAACAGACCACTCCGCACGAAGTGCACAGACCCGGACATGAAATGATGCTAAAATGGCCACGAACGATGTGAACAAGAACGCCTGCGTAATCATGGCAGCTCGAATCAAATTCAATCCAATTTTATACCGAGCAGCCGTGTCAGTCTGAGCGCCAGCAAGTAAGCCAGCACCAGTCCAGACGCATACCTCAGCCAGGACGTCAAAGGTAATAAACGTGCGGACGACCCTGATTGGAGACATTGGAGCTGCAGAGGGGACAAAGCTGAATAGTCGTCCACAGATGAAATAATCTGCACCAGCATACGTCGGCCCAGCGCCGAGAATGAACATCGTCGACAGTGTGTAGAGAGATTGAACATTTCCTTTGCCAGAAGCAAGAAGGGAGCGTTGGAGAAAACCTATGGCCGAAAAAATGGCGCCTAGCGTCAATGGGATTGTGAATTTCTGTGGTTTAGACGTCCTAGAAAGGGGCATGGACGTGGAACTGTGAGTAGTTATTTTCTGTTTGCTGATGGGAAGATGATCTTACCTATGCTGCAATTCATGCAATGCTGCAGAAATTGAGTAAGCCACGGTGAAGAAAATGGCTGCACTTCTGTTTGGAGGATAGTGGTATAGCTCTGAGAGATGTTGTTAGACCGCGGTAGGCTTCCCCAGTGTTGCGGTGAGTATTTATTTACCTTCTACTTTAGGCTCGGGTGACATGATTTTCCTGAATGATAGTATTGATATAGCAAAACAATTATATCTTGGAATTCTAAAAGAACACTCCGTTTGCCATGAATAAGAAAGTCCAGGAAGCGAGAGCCGGGCCATCCAGGCTCTTTTATAACGCTCCGCCCCTTGGTCAAATTCAACTTCACCGGCCATGGCAAGGAACTTAGATGCTGCGCCCATTGTCCCTGCCGTATGGTTCATATTTACTAACTGGTTCAGGGAAATATCCTGGGTCTGCAGACGCTGCTGGTTGTTTCGGGGGTGCGCCTTGTCCAGCTTGGCTCTGCTCCGCGCGAGGGATGATGAGTTCAAAGAAGAAGCTTGATACCCGATGAGGAAATATATGTGGCCAAGACCTGCCAAGTGCCGCCTAGCGGTCGATCATTCATGGGAGTAATTGTAAGGTGGAAGTAGCTGAGCATCATCGTTCGATGTCAAATCTACTTTATGATAACCGCACGTAGTGGTCTGTAACAAGCAGAGCGGGTGCCCTCAAGTTTGGCAATGAGCGTAGTGTGTGAATCAAGTTTGTAAACGAAGAACAAGAAAAGTTGAAGCCAATGAGCAAATGCCAAAAGCAAAAAAAATATTCGTTATTAAAAACAATCAAGGCACATCAACCAGTATAGTTGCTGTTTTTCTATCTCGGGTAATGAATGAGAGAGCTCATCAGCAGTGCCGCTCGCTCCTTTTTATTCCAGAAACACGGTTTCGCAATTAGAAAAGTCATATTTTCTCCGAGAGAATTTTGAAATATTGCCCGGGAGATTCCCAACTTGAACTTGAGCAAATGCCGTGAGATAATGATAAAAAGGGTAATCAGAATAAAGAATGTAGTGAAAAGCGCAAATCGTTCATCGGCTTCCTCGAATGTTTTATCAGCATCAGGTTCCCGCTACAGAATTGACGAGGAACTCAGGTGGGTTTGAAATTGCAAACACAAGGAAATAAACCTCGCAATCAAGATAGGTAGGATGAGGAGTATTGCAGTGAAAAGGGAAGGGGGAAACTTCGTTTTCTAGCTCCAGTCCTCCTAAGGAGTAGCTCTTATACATGGTGGAGCCTTAAATAATAATAGAAAAAAAAAAAAAAAAAAAAAGCAGAAGAGAGATGGAGGGATCACAATCATTGCAAGGTCTCAGAGGCAGTGCCAACAACCAACTTGATTATAACAGGATTCGAATCAATCAAATAGCTGCGTGGAATGATCACTCGGACGGGGCAGCGCAACCCATCATTCGCTTGTTGAGCTTGAGCTGATAGAAAAACAAAATAGATCTTGCGCTTACGGGCTCTGTGGAGGACGCTTGACTGGAAGCGGTTGCCAGGAGGTTTGGTTGCTGCCGGAATTCTCTGAAGGAAAGATCCGATTGTTGCGAAGGTGTGGAAATTCCTATGGTAGGTACTGTGTATATTAGACGGACACTCGACCGGTACAGTAGTTACATACATATTATACAGGAGTTACAGTACATGCAAATTCTTTCATTCGACATACAGTGTGGTACGGCATTCCACGAATAATATACGATACGAGCCGTACTGTAATATATTGTATCATTACGTTCCATCTTATCAATCAGGGGCCCAGCCTTGTCGATGTGACCCAAAGAAAAAGGAACCAACCGAATGCCCCTTCTTGGCGTCGACTCGACTTCGTAGTGGGGTGTATCAGGATCAGACCTCCACTGGACTCAGCAACTCCTCAGCAACTCCTCAGCAACGATTCCAACGGCAACGGCCATGCCCCCGCTGGTGGGACCGCTCCAAACATGCCCGATGTCAAAACTCGCTTTTTGCGACCTTCATATTCTGAACACTTCCCATCAGCTCGCTGCACTTGTGGTGTTGTGATGCAATCTTCTACTGCCTTGTGCTCTCTTCTCTCGTAACCCTGAAGTCCTTGTCGCAAATGGGATCAGCCTTCCTCTCCAAGCTTCAGACGCATGCGCCTGTGGCCCAGCCACAGGTAATGAGCAGTGGAGCAGCCAAGGAAGCCGGGGATTTGCCCCAAGAGCAAGGGGTTGCGAGTGACGCCGAAGACCAGCTTTCAGCGGATGCCCAAGATGGAGTACGCAAGATCCAGGCCACCACCCGGGTCTGGAGCAAAGGACATCTCATCTTTGCATATGTCATGTATATTTTGAGCTCTCTGTCCCCGATTTCTGTCTTCTCGAACACCCGAGTCAACAACCGTCTCCGGGTAGGACACGGCTAATATAATCATGTAAATAATAGGATATGGGTTATTACTTTCGTCGACACAATGCAGCAGGGAATGTCCAATTCTCTCGTCCCTTATGTTACCAGTAGTTTTAGGCTGCACTCATTGACGGCTTCAACCATGATTATGTCGAACATCATCGGAGGTCTTATCAAGTTACCCCTTGCTAAGGTCCTTGATATCTGGGGTCGACCGCAAGGCTTCCTCATCATGGTAGGAGCACTGACTATCGGCCTTGTCATGATGGCTGCATGCAACAATGTCAAAACCTATGCTGCTGCGCAAGTGTTCTACTGGGTAGGGTGCGTTAGACCTTTTCGAGCTTTCTTCCTAAATATATCTATAAATAGTATTTGTCTTCTTTAAGAGCTAATCTTCCCTTCCTTCCTCGATCTTGGTAGATATAATGGGATGAGTTACACAATAAGTATTTTCATTGCTGATACATCTGCTCTGAAAAATCGAGCCCTTATGTTTGCGTTTGTTTCGTCACCTTATATCGCTACTGTCTGGGTTGGCGGACCACTTGCAACGGTCTTCCTGAATGGTCCTGGCTTCAGGTGGGGTTATGGTGCTTTCGCCATCATCACTCCTGCCATCACTTTCCCTCTGTACGCAGTGTTTGCCTGGAACTATAAAAAGGCGAAAGACGCTGGGTTGCTATCTGAAAAAACACATAGTCGCACATACACCCAATCGCTCAAACACTATTTCATCGAATTCGATATTATCGGGATAATTCTCCTGGCTAGCGGGTTGGCTTTGTTTCTCCTCCCATTCAGCCTTTATTCTTACCAGAAGGATCAATGGAGATCAAGCCTAGTCATTAGCATGATCATCGTGGGTGGTCTCCTCCTTATCGCTTTCGCCCTGTACGAGAAGTACCGGGCACCGGCATGTTTCATTCCTTTCGAACTCCTTTTCGATCGAACTGTGTTGGGCGCCTGTATTCTTGCTGCAAGTTTGTTTGTCAGCTTCTACATCTGGGATAGCTATTTTTCATCTTTCCTCCAAATTGTCAACGACTTGTCAATCACCCAGGCCAGCTATATCGTCAACATATATAGCATCGGCGCCTGCTTTTGGTCCATCATCCTTAGGCATCTTAGTGCGATGGAGTGGGCGCTTTAAATGGCTTGCCCTCTATTTTCGGTGTGCTTCTTACCATTCTCGGCGTAGGCCTCATGATCACCTTCCGCCAGCCGGATGTCAATATCGGGATATATCATCATGTGCCAAATTTTTATCGCCTTTGCTGGTGGAACATGCGTCATAACAGAGCAAATGGCTGTTATGGCCGCTACATCTCATCAATATGTCCCCGTCGTTCTCGCAGTTGAATCCATGTTTGCAAACATTGGCGGCGCAATCGGTCAAACCGTCGCCGCTGCAATCTGGACCGGAGTATTCCCTCAAAGATTAGCTGAGTACCTACCTGACCAGGCCAAGGCCAACGCCACCCTCATATACGGAGATCTTACAGTACAGAAATCGTATCCACTTGGAAGCCTTGAAAGAATTGCCATTAACAGAGCCTATGGTGATGGGCAAAAATATATGCTTATAGGAGGTACTGCAATTTTGGCTGTCGGCCTTGGAGCTACCATGATGTGGAGGGATATCAAGGTCAAGGACTTCAAGCAAGTCAAGGGCCTTGTTGTTTAAGCCGACTTGGGTGCGATTTCCTGATTGACTTGCGCATGTAACTAGTGGTTATGTCGACAACCTACTTTTGTCCTGTTTTGGCCTATGAACACAGTTGAATGGTTGGGTGATGATAACTCTACTGTGCATTGCATTTATTTTTAAAACATTGAAAATGATTCGAAGGGGAGCTGGGCACGGATTCGTGGGCTGCTACGTGGCACCCAGTGCATACCTTTGGCATTGCAGTTTTTCTTTCTCGGTTGGTGTTTAGTTGTAACTGGCGCGCACACCCCATAGATGAAAAAAAAAAAAAAAAAAAAAAAAAAAAAAAAAGAAAAGAAAACGAAAAAGGAAAATAGCTCAACATTGAAGTTTGAATTTGTTGCCCACGAGCACCTCCATTACAAGGTCGGTGAGGGGTGCAGCGCAGGTAGTCGGTAGAGAATCACCAAAGCTCAAGGCCGCACCAGTGCCACCATGCCTCCTCCTCTTTTCTCTTGCTCTAGCATGTTTGCGATGTGGCATAAACAATGTTACAATACAAGCCACTCCGCATAGCGCGTATTAGAGTTATCAGATCCGTTATGCAAAAACCTAGTTTTCTTTCGGATCAGATAACGAGCCGTATGCGCGTATCTGTACAAACCCTGTAACATACGGGCAAATTTCGGGTATTATGACGTGGGGCATACCAGAAGCCACGGAGGGCAAGGCAAGAATGTCAGGCCATAAGACAAAAAAATCAAAATTCAAAAATTGCCCGTGAAAAAGGGCTGATTTGTAGAAACTACCATGGCTTGTCCCTGTGGCGCCCGAGTGCTCGTGGAGATATTGACCAGTCTTCTATCCCTAAAGAATCAAAACCCCCCCGGCACGTAATATATAATTTCTTATCGATATCGGTTGTAAATATTGATTAATTGACCTCAGACGAGTGAACTGTCCATAAAATCACTCCTCCTGAAGGCGAGGGAGAAATTCACCAGGAATTACATACTCGGGCCGAAATACATCATAAAGGCAATCGAGATTTTCTCGACGATGCCAATCACAATTCCACCCTTCGAATATGCGCCAGTGAAGACTTCATGGCTGAAGCGTGATGTACTTCTTTTCGCTCACTCAATTGGCTGCAAAGCGGGGGATGAGCTTCACTTTCTTTATGTATGCATTGCTATAAAACTGCCACGGAGTATATTAGAGTTAGAAAAGAGAATACCGCCGTCTTTGGTTGCTAATTTTTGCTCTCAGGAACTACACCCAAAATTCCAAGTCTTCCCCACGTATCCTATTGTGCTAAGTACGGGCATCTTTCTATTCCTCTGCACATGTCTGCAAAAGTACTGATTACTAAAACCAAATACCAGCCTTCAAACACGCTGACACCGACATTGTGGACTTCCTCGCGCGAAATGCAGCTCGGACTCTCCCTCCGGGCTGCCCGGTGTTAGACTGGGGCGTGGCTGTCGATGGGGGACGACGAATGGAGTTCCTATGTCCCCTACCACCATCTAGTGAGGGGAAGACGTGGGATATCCACACCAAAGTTCTGGGGGTGTTCGATAAGGGAGCGGGAAAAGGAACAGTGATGGAGATGGAACATGTGCTGAAGCAGCGGGAGAGCGGCCAGGTGTATACGCGCACTTGGGAGAGTGTTTTCTTCAAGGGAACTGGCGGTTGGGGTGGGGAGCGAGGTAAACGACGCCATTCTGCTGCTTCTTTCTTTCATTGGAAGACAGGAAGCCTTGCCCTTACTGATTTAACATACAGGTCCGAAAATGAACGAGCATGTTCCTTCAACTCCAGCAAGACGGCCAGATGCAGTGTCAAGTTTCCAATCAAATGCGGAATCTGCACATTTGTACAGGTGCGGCACTCCCCTGCTTGATACGTACTTCAACCTTCCACCTTGCTTTCTTGCTTCAAGTCTCTCTAAATATTGGTATTCATTTCCACTCATACAGGCTTAACGGCGATTATAATCCCCTTCATGCTACCCCTGAGCCAGGGCAATCTCTGGGGTATGGTGGGACCATCATGCATGGACTATTCAGCTGGAATATCACGGCACGGGCTGTGTTATCTCAGTTTGGTGGAAGCGAGGGTCGGCGTTTGCGTGACTTTGAGGCGATGTTTGCCTCACCCGTTAAACCCGGGGATAAACTGGATATCCTTATGTGGGATATGGGCGTGTGCAAAAGAGCAACATCTGCAGTCCAGAATGACGAAAGCTTGCAAGAGGTGCGATTTATGGTGAAAGTTGGTGATAGGGTTGTATTGTCAAATGGAAAGGCTTTGTTGAAATGTGAAGATGAAGGTGTTAAGGCTAAGTTGTAGATGTATAAATAACCAAGGAGAAGAACAGGATAACAGGGATCAACAGACGAAGAGAATACATATCTATATAGAACACAAGACACTCCACATAAGAACGAAAATTGCTCAGATTCATCCAGCCACCGCTTTTTAGGGTGCTAATAATCAACACCTCCAAACACACACACACACAAAAAAAGGAAGAAAGTGGCGAAGTTCGAGCGGCTGAAATTATCAATAATGCACAATATAGTTTGACGCTTGCAATTGAAGGATCGCAGGGTATTTTTGGTCTCCACCCCTCTCTTCTGACATAGAAAAAATAAAACATATCAATGCCTTAATGGAAATTTTTATTCAAAAGCATAGCGAGCCGGACCTCTTTTACAAGGGCCAATGCACTCCCAATCTTTTAGAGTCGTGCATGATCTTCAGCGCGCTTACTGCTTGCAAGGATGGAATCAAGCAGTTCGCTACTACGCACCGCAAGGATAGACAGGAGACTATCACTCAGCTGCATGAAATTACATTGTCAGTACGAAATGGGATGTATATAAATGTTTTGGGTAGGAACGAAGAGTTGGCATACACCATGGCTGCTTTCACAACACCCCTGGAGCCAGATGCCAGCATCACGCTTGACTTTCCCCTGGCGAAAGCGCAATCGATAGTCCCGATCTGTGCAATACGTCTTCCCATCTGCTGGAGCCTCAACAATTTGCTCCAAGGGTTTGAGCATGGTGGCTATTGGGTTACGCGTATATCCTGTGGCAAGAATCACTAGGTCATATACCTCGGCTGAGCTTTCAACACGCCCAGATAGGGTGTCCTTGAGCTGGAGTTCTATCTGGTTGTTTGGGAGTTCTTTCAGGCCCATAACCTCACGGCCAGTAACCAGGCGAAATGGCCACTTAGCAGGGTTGGGCTCCAGGAACTTCTGACGATATAACTTCTCATATACTGATTCCAGAAGTGGTAGCCGAACAACACCATAGTTTGTTGCTTTGTTCTCGAGAAGTGTCTGTTGGCGTGCTGAGTGGTCTAAAGAATAAAACTTATCGACACTGCTTGGGTCGAAAATTTCATTGACACTGTCGGATTTGAGAGGGTTTAAATTAGAACCTTTTAATTGGCAGTAAAGATGGGAAAGGGCTCACAATGGGCTGTCGTCACTGGGCTTCAAGGCCGAAGCTTTCGTCACAAGAGTGACTTTCGAATTTGCGTATCTTGATTGTATATCTTCAGAAATCTCCACTGCACTCTGGCCACCACCAACAACGGCAAAACGGTAGGAACCATTTTTTTCTTGGAGAAGATGATGTACAGAACCGAGGTAAGTAGAGGAATGGATAACAGTCTTGGGTAGGTGTTGTGTAGAAAGTATTGGAGGAATGGCTGGTTCCCCTCCACTAGCCACGATGATGTGATTAGCCGACAATTCTCTGAGCTCCCCAGAACGCACATCACGGGATATTAGTTTGAAATATTCAGCGGGCCGCCCAGGGGTAGACTCCACCGCAGTAACGCTGAGTACTTCCTGGTTATACTGGACCCAATCGTTGAAATGCGAGGCGCACCATTTCATGTAATCGTTAAATTCTTCACGGAAAGGTAAATGGGTGGAGAGATTGGTGAAATGAACGAGACGGTCCTTTTGGTGCAAGTAGTTGAGGAAGGTGAAGTGAGAACGAGGGTTGCGTATAGTCGCCAGGTCCTTGATGAAAGAAATTTGCATTTTGCTCCCGGGTAGCAGCATGCCCGTGTGCCAGCCAAATTCTGGCTGCCTCTCCAAGAAACGAACGCGACGCTGAATCCCGCGGTCCCGCATAGCAATTGCTATGGCGAGGGCTGCAGGGCCAAACCCAACGCAAATTACATCATGCTGAATGCCGGTATTTGAACTCCTCCCCGCATTGCCGTTCTCTCGCAAGATCACCGATTCCTGGCAGTGGGAACAATCGTTTTTGAGCACCGTCTCCATGGAGGTATTGACGACGACGACGACGACGACGACGACGACGACGACGTAAAGACCTGATGTGAGGGAGCGAATGATAATGAGGAAATCTCACTGAGGGCGAGAGGCAAGGAGAGAAACTTTGGATAGCAAGTGACAGTTGGGAACACCAAAACTTATGAGGATATTCTTGTGAAAGTGAGAACACACCGCTAGCCTAGTTGACTACCATGGTCTTCTTGGAGATTCAAGGAGAGAATACGCAAATGTTTCCCAACAAAAGGCCACTCCACTTGCTGGTCACATCACCACCGGGTTCCTGGCTCCATTGTCCGGCTAGGAGACGGTAATGGAAATCCTAGTTTTGCAAAATTTGGCCCTCGAAACAATGCAGTGAGAACCACAGATTGACATCCTAAGCAAGCCGATATCAGGCCACCGAGAACGGAACACTCGATTGAGGTGCTAGTCTCCAACAAACCTTGCCGAGGGAGAATAGCTGCCGTGTTGGCTGTGGGATCGTCTAGGAAAAAGAGCAAAGTGGGATATGGTTGGTCTAGACCAGGTATAGTACCTTCCATCAGAGCGGCGTGTCAATACATGATACATGATACATGATACATGATACATGCCCGTAACGCTGTGAATAGCGTAATACCACTCATGTAATGCCTGTAATTTTTGGCTGGTGGGTCCCGCTGATGATAAGATTATCTGATTGATTAGATTCGCGGCCCGAGGGAAATCACCTCATTTTCTATTTTTTCCGGTATAGAAAATTGAAAACGTAATATTTGTGCGTATTTCCCAGGCAGAGTAGCGACATCGGAATGTTGGCAAGGTTTCCGAATCCACCACGCCAGCTGCATGGGATGGCTCGATGGCTCGTACTACTTCATACGGCCTCCGGAGGATGTTTTAGCAAGAACAGACGATGTTATATGTCCGGTTTATCGTAGTGAAACACTGCTGTCGAGCATTGGAAATTTAGTTGTCAAGTTGTCGAAGCAAAATTATCGAGAATGGCCACAATATCAAATGAAACCCCTCTCTGGAGGCTGCAGCAAACATTAAATCACATCCTGCCACAATCCGTTCGCAAAAATGAAGAACATCTTGCTGTCGTTCACGGACCTACCCAGCCCGCTCTTTGGGAGATGACCTTGGGCGAATTGCTGGAGTTCCAGTGTTTGCGGTATCGCGATCTAGAGGCTGTCGTTGTCCCCTGGACAGGGGCGCGATGGACGTACGGACAACTTGAGAACGAAAGCAGTCATCTTGCCCGTGGCCTCTTAGCAAAAGGGATCCAGCGTGGGGATAGAATTGGGGTGATGGCGGGCAACTGTGAAGAATATGTGTCACTGTTTTTCGCCGCTGCCCGTGTTGGCGCTATCTTAGTTGTCATCAACAACACCTATACGCATGCTGAGTTGAAGCATGCTCTTAGCCACACAGGTGAATTTCTCCACCTTTCCCCTCTTGCTGCGTTTCTAGGACGTAATGACTGATGCGTTACAGCTTGCAAGTTGCTCTTTATTGTTCCTCGAATCGGCCGGCATGATCTTAAGAATGCATTGGAGGACCTTCACTCGCCCGATATATCAAAACGACTTCCAAATCTTAATGAAACGGTGATGATTCAGGGTTCCTTTAAAAGCTTTGGAACGTATAAAGATGTTATTCTTGCCGGCAACGTTGTCCCGTTAAGCGCAGTCCAGCGGCGGCAGGACACTCTATCGCCATTCGATGTCTGTAATCTGCAATTTACGAGTGGCTCAACCGGGAATCCAAAAGCTTCAATGCTAACACATCAGTGAGATTGTCTTTTCTTCGGTTCAATGGGAGTATAGGCGCTGATTTCGTCTACAGCAATTTAATCAACAACTCGCGCTTCATCGGTGATCGGATGGACTTCACTGAATACGACATACTCTGCTGTCCGCCGCCGTTATTTCATTGTTTTGGGCTTGTCCTTGGTCTTCTCGCATGCATAACGCACGGAGCCAAGGTCGTGTATCCTGCCGAAACATTTGACCCCGAAGCCGTATTGAGAGCAATATCAGACGAGCGGTGCACAGCACTCCATGGAGTGCCCACGATGTTTGAAGCAATCCTGGCACTCTCGAGACCCGATTCGTTTGACTGCTCACAGCTCCGAACGGGCATCATCGCAGGTGCGCCAGTACCACGACCACTCATGAAACGGCTATGGAATGAGCTGAATATGACCGAGTTCACCAGCAGTTACGGGTTGACCGAAGCGTCGCCAACATGCTTCAACGCATTCACTAGCGACTCAATTGCGACCCGGCTCACAACGGTAGGCAAAGTGCTACCGCATGCTAGCGCCAAAATCATCAATCCCGAAACTGGGGAGACTGTGAAAATTGGAGAACGGGGAGAACTCTGTGTGTCCGGCTATCAAATCCATAAAGGATACTGGGGAAATCTGGAAAAAACAGCAGAGGCATTGATAGAAGATGGGGATGGCACGATTTGGTTGCGGACTGGCGACGAGGCGGTGTTCAATTCAGACGGGTATTGCACCATCACAGGACGGTTTAAGGACATAATTATTCGGGGAGGAGAAAATATATATCCTCTCGAAATTGAAGAACGTCTCACTGCACACCCAGCAATCTCGCGAGCTACAGTAGTTGGACTGCCCAGTAAGCATTACGGAGAGATTGTCGGTGCATTTTTGGTACTCGAGCCTGGCCATGCTTGTCCACCAGACGACGAAATAAAAAATTGGACGCGGCAAACACTCGGGAGACATAAGGCTCCCAAACACGTGTTTGTGTTTGGTTTGGATCCAAGGCTGCCGCAAGATATGCCCCAGACTGGCAGCGGGAAAATCCAGAAGCAAGTATTGAGGGATCTGGGGAAGCGATTGGTCGGTGAAGAGTGAATAACTTGACGGAATAGAGTGCAGTTTGCCTAAATGTAACTAATGTAACTTTACATAGACCAAAAGTAAACAAGCTTCTTCGCAGTAGAACTTATATCTAAACCTCAGACAGGTCTTGCATTTAATGTGAGTAACTTAATAAATATGATAGTTACAAGTAATCGAACATCAATCTATTTTCATTGGAATTCAAATTCAAAGCTAACCGCCATGAAGACTATAATTTACTTTTGCTTGGCTTTGCCGTCCCATTGCTAGTCACATTTCCAAAATTCACGACTTCGAAAAACCGCACCCGTTCGCACCTCACCATGGCAGATCTCTTATGCGGCAGGTCTCCCCACTTGTGAACGTGGAAGCCATGCGCTGCGTCGTAGCCCAATACCGGTCCATTGGTTGCTTTTGGTTCCCCGACTACGCATGTAGTGCGAGGCTCGTCAAGAAATATATAATGGATCAGACTGGTCCACCATGCCATGGCCCGATGAGGGCCGCGGAACCGCGCATCACCAACCAGCGAGTGTCTGCCACGATCCCAATCTAAGGCGGGATAATATGTGCCCATGTGGTCCTCCTAATCAGGGAATGATCGGATTAGCGAATAGCGATCAATGATAGAAACCATTTGATTATAAAAGTAGTAGGAAATATGGAGGATATGTCGTCAATCAAAAAGAATGAGGAAATTGGTCGTACCTTAGCCCAATATATCTCGAAATACGCGAAATAGGTATTGTCAAATCGTGCCAATACGGCAATCTGGTGCGGGTCTTCATCGATCTTTCGCAGATATTCTCTATGTTGGTCCAAAGTGCCAGCCTCCTTCCAGTTGACGGCTACTCGGGGATCATTCTGCCAAGTATGGAACAGCTGGAGATGGGTTTCATTCGTATAATCAAGATGGTCCATGGCGAAAAATTCATCCAGGTGTGGAATATACCTGCTGTATATCGGTGCCCCGCGCGCGGGTTTTGCTGGGCGCACTGGATGTTGCGCATGTACCGGCCGATTTGTGAGTTGAGATGTCAATGTGTACTGAAGAGGGAAAGCTGGATATTCTGAAGGCGGTTTTCTAGCGCTCCCGGTTATCGATGGGACAAGCCATGCAGGTCGAGTTCCTAGAGGAGAACCCGCTCCCTGCCAGAAGGCAGCTCGGGAGACCACAACATCTTCAATGGTAGTATACAGCGGCTGAGGCTGAACCGGAGTTGGAAAACATGTAGAAAGCCCTGTCGCATTGCATTCGGTGTATAATTGGTCTTTCTGCGCTCCCGACAGAGAAAGGCGGAAGGATTCTTCTGACGGCCTCAAAGAGAAGATCGCGTAGACTATCATCCATATCTGGCCAACAGTCGGTGCCGACTCTCCATCCCAAGTCACAAACGAAACCAGACTTCGACAAGCCCGTGCCCAAGCAGTGTTATCTGATTCAGCTGGTAGGGTAGCCTGAGGGCCAGGAATTAACTCGCTGAAGTAGAGCATAGGGTGATGCAGTAGCTCTGGCGGCGAAATGGCGCCGTTATTTTGGTCGCTCGACAATCGAAGCTGGAAGATCCTGCCATTCGGTCCCGAGGAAGCTTGGTATAGTTCATATTTTGTTTTGTATGGCTCCGGAAGTCGCACAAGCGGCAAATCTCGCAGCTCGCGGGAGGAGCTCATTTTGTTGCATGGCAATTGTTCAAGTATACACTGATCGTGGGATGCAACGGGGTGGAAAATGCAAAGTCCCAATCCGAGCCATTAATACGTTCTAAAGAAGCCAGGAGTGAGTCGTGGGCCGGACCGCCCCAATCACCGTAACCCAGAAAGGGGAAAGAAACCCAGCTTCCTTGTCTGTGTTTAGCAGCTAGAAACCTCAACATGATGCTCCGAATTCTCCATGGTTCATATCCAAGCGTTTCAACTAGGGTAATGGGCGTTTCAGCAAGTCCTGCGAACCTGCTATTCTGATACGCAATACGAATAATACTGAAATACACTTCCAGTATCCTACAGACCCGCGACAATATTACCCATCTGTGGGGCGATAATCTATATTCTCCGTTTGTGTCAGTTTTCCGTTGAATGCTCAGTGTTTGATCTGATAAGATTTCGGTCGACAATCCGCCCAACGGTCCCAACCCGAGCCCGCGAAAAGAACCTATCTGCTCATGGTTACCGGAAAGTGGCGTGAGCTCCCAAACTTTTCCAGGTGGTACCCCACTCCCCCACGCTGTTTTCGTTATCAGATCTTTTTTTTACAGAATGGTTGCTTGAGGATAGATAGCCCACAACTAGCCGAAGCAGTACAGGAAGCAATCAACATGGCCCATAACAGCCTCCCGATTTGACCCGGTTCTTAACAGCACTTTGACTCTTGTTAGTGAAAACGAGACAATGCCGGAATGCAATATACACTAGTTTGGAGGGGAGTGGTGGTCGTGGCTACTTGGAAGCTCCAGCTTCGAATAAAAAAGCAAAGAAAAAGAAAAAGAAAAAGAAAAAACTCCCCTCCTTATAATGATCAAAAATATCTCTCAATCCTACTGACAGCTGACACGCCGGACGAGATATGAACATCTTCTCGTGATACCATCGAATTTTGACACTCGGAGCAAAAGTAAAAAGAGAAGAACTAGTAGCTCCAAAGAACCCATCAAAAACTTCAATTAGCTTTCAGCTAAGCCCTCAGCTGCAAGTGGTTCAAGCTCACCATGCGGGAGTCAGACACAACCACAAGGAAAGTCATAAGTTCTTCATCCCACGTTGGCGCCATGCCTTTGCGGCTTGCAGGACGCCTTTTGAAGGTCCCTCGTTTGCTTGTTTTGACGGAAATTTTTCCCTTCCATGTGTCACCGGGCTGCAGGAGAGCATGTAGCCGAAGCTATGGGTCAACTCGTTGGCAATGGCTCCGGATAGCAAAACTAATCAAAACTCTCACGGAAGAAAATTTTTTCATCCAATTTATCTGATCAAAGTTTAACTTAGTCAAAATTACGAGATTATTCTGGATCCTTGAAAAATATTGAACACAACACGTCCATACGTAATATACAAATTACGGTATAATATGTTGAGTATATTACAGCTTGTGGATGCCTGTTTTTTTTTTTTTTTTTTACCAGCGTAAGATTGATAAGATCGCAGGGTCCCATCATTTGTGGGCCTATGGGACATCTAGGTAGCATCGACAAACAATACAGCTTCTTTTCTTCGGGAAGCAGAAAACCCGAAAACCAGAAAGGCAGGGAGGGGGAGAATGATGAAATGGAGAATGGCTAACAAAGAAAATGGAATAATAACGCGTTGAAGGAGATCTGCTGCACCACCAGAGCGACTTGCAATGAGTGCTATAGTAACTCTCTTGATTATCTATTCAGAGGGATTTGTATCTCATTATCTAAGCTATCATATTAACTATCAAAAGCGTCCTTTAATGGTAATCATATATAACCTCTCTATGCTGCTCTCTTATCAGTCTCCCCCGTCGTGAGGTACCGTACATGTTGTCTGATTCTGAGAAATGCTATTAGAAATGCTATTATTTACGAACTTGGTAAGACACCTAATTTGATATATCCATATCAATTTGACTCTTGAAATCCACCCATGTCCTTCTCCCTTCTCCCTTCCGACGTCATGAGAGGGGAATTCTTCTTGCCTCATGAGGGTACAGCGGAATTGTTTTATCCAATCCCTTCTCCACTAAGATGTGGTTTTATGCCCTGACAATATGGAAGTACTAAAGCAATTCCGAGAAAACCAAGATTCTCAAATGCCGAACCCTCTTCAGATATGGCCAAGAGAGGATCCACATTTCTGGTCAATATAGGGCGCGCTATCAATTGTTCCCATGGAACCACATGTGTAGATCAACCTCGATAATTGTCGTTGCTATACCCAAGCCCCATATGGAATATTTTCTGGAACTTGGTATTCAAATCCATCCCCAAACTCAATTCCCATTAGGGTTCAAATAAATGACGGGGACGAAAATAGTCACCAAGGAGAAGAAAAGTCGTCCCTCGTGTCGGATAAGCTACAAAAAAGTTACCGCAATCAAGGTTGGAATAATAGCAGAAGCAATCTTGAGCATGAACGTAAGCTTGTCTCCGAAGGTGACGTAGAATTGCATTCTAAGAAGAAGTAGCAAGCATGGGGAAAACTTTTGGAGAGCATCGTTTCTAACAACCGTGGAAGTATCGGGCGACGATTCGGGAGTTGCATACTGCGGCGTCATCGATAAGGATATGATATCGATGGAGATTATGTTGGTATGTATGGACGTCGATTTTAGGTCCGTAACCGCATTTTGTACTTCTGAAAAACAATCGACGACAATAAATCGACAAAAACCAATCCATAGTTCGCCAAGATGATCACCCATCCTTTCCATATACGTAATAACTTATTACATATCTTAGGTATATGGGGAGACACCTCGGGTTTCAAAAATTTTTATATCTGCATATCCGTTAGCCGTTAGAAGTCCCATACCCGATAGCAATCGTACATAACAGGAAGCAATTTTTCCAATGACGGTGATACAATTCTCCAATATACTCTGCAAATATGAATATTCGTGGTCGGTCCCTACAGCACGATCAAGGGGCCAGGATAGAATTGAGATCCGCAGTCGAAGTTAAAAGTCCCGATCTTTTTCAACTCAGAAACTGAAACTCTATTGCGATGGCATGCCCGATGTCCATTACTCCGTCTGCTCGGAATAATGAGTTGACTGGTTTGATCCCAGGATGAGGTCTAACCTCTCTTGCGGTATCCAAACAAGTTGATCAGTTTCCGTAGCACCCTCCAACCTCGGCTAAAAAGAATGCTCCTTGAACGTCGTGCTTGGGAAAACTAACACATACATAGATAGTCATAGGGAACGTTTAGAACGACAAGGTCTGGTAGTTGGCGTCGTTGTGAGGTATAGTTGAAGAGATACATTGTGGGCCAGCTTTTATCCAGGGTATATGAGACGAATTAGTTCAAGATCAAAGCAAGGAATCGGAAAACAATGAAATCAGGCTCCATCAAGGAAAGAAACATTATGACGACCATCCTCATAACTTTTACTGAGGGGTTGGCACCACTCTTCATGGGATGGGGCAATTCAGATAATTCACACCAGTAATTTGGTTTAGCGGACAGAACTTGGTGAAATAAATTGTAGTGCACAGCTTCCGGCGACAAGTTATTTGAGGATATCCAGCGTCGAAAAGGTTGGCGGATCGCCATTGTTATTCTAGGAGGCTTCCGACACTGTACTTTACCACCTAAGCCTCAAAAAGTAATATGACAAAACACGGCTTTCAGTATTAGTAGATATCAACCAAACCAATGTATGAAAAGAACGAAAAACCTCAGCAGCCGGAAGAACTGTTAATCCTTCTTTATTCGTTTTGAGAGGTATGGATGGATTCTAATGAGTAGTCCCTATGTGCCTGCGAGGAAACAATCGGAGCTCCTCATATGTTTGGTCTGCGGCACTCGAACCGAGAGTAGAAAATTGCGATTGTTGCCGAATATCTGCGACGGGGGATTTAACAAAGCCCTTGATAGCTCAACGAACGAATAAGTGAACGCTTCATCAGCTGGATCCGGGGACGCTGATACCTCTATCAAGCATCGAGCAGTAAAATAGGACCAACATTCTATTCACATTAAGAATCAAGTGATAAGAATTGCACGGTTCATAAACGAACAGCGACCAAGTGTTACTATTCTCCTTCGATGTGCCCGTCCTAGTCGTGGATGTACACCCTTGTGTAGGCTGACCGGAAAGACTTTTCTCGTCACGGTTCATAGATATAATGAAAGGCACGCATTCTGGTCTCCCATCCTCCCATGTGATTGTAGAAAAATCTCCATCAAGAATCTGAAGAATGGAATTCGCGGCGCCCGCAAATTTTTTCCATCACCTATATGACAGGCCTCGACTTCAAGGGCCATGATCGGCTATGGACACTCTATTGGCTATGCAACACGGGGGAAATACGTATCATTGGTAGACGTATGCCCGGATTTGTGCCAGGATACATATCTCATAACAGAAGATGATACTTCTTCAATGTTAAGAACAGGGAAAATGACACCATGTCGTCAACTAGTGTTGCAAAAAACAGGTTTACAGTGTGGTATGGAAGGAACAGCAACGGCTGCTCACTCGCAGTCTCAATTGGCAAAGCTCCCACTATATACCGAGAGCAGTTTCTTGAAAGTAAACAAGTCGAGACCCCATCTCCTCGACTGGATACCGACAGTCTGGACCTTGCGACATTTCTCTCCTAATGCATCAAAAAAACTCAGCTGGCCCTGTGGAGGCATTGGTGTTAGCGCTCGTAGCCAACTGCCAGGAAATTTTACTGTATCATAGAAAAAATAGGACTTAGGTCCATAAAAAAAGTTTACGCCGCATGGCAAAGTAAGATACTTGACTGCAATACCATTATATTAGATGAGGCCTTCTTCTTTTTTGAATCACATTTGATCTTCCTGACATGCCTTTGATTGCGCAAGATGGACTGTAAAGGAATTAGAAATCAAAAATCGAAAAAAATTAAGGCAAAAATAAGAGATACTTGAAATGGCAGAGAAGCTTAGACATGATAAAGAATAAAGAGCCATAAACTGATCATAGCGTACTGACCCTAGCGTGACCGCCAAGCTTTAGCCTGCTGTTGCAACCGACTTCACCATTTTCTTGACCACTTTGTACCACCACGCTAATTTAGTATGAGGGAGTACCTACCTCTAAGACAAACAAGACCAAGAGAAGCAGGAACTCCCATACTAAATTTGTGTGGTGGTACCCTCGCTGATGCACGCACGTGCAATGTACTGTCTCTGTTCCACGAAAGAGAGGCTCTCCAAGTCGCAAGCACAGACTTTTGCAGCCATCACCGCTGTATGTACTCCGTAAGCCCTGCAACCATCAGCGCTGTCATGAATATATATCTCTGCAAGTATACAGCGTTGTGACTGGGCTCATTTCAACGAGTATCGCCTCTGGTGCTTGTGGGTGGCTACGGTTATTCAAATCTGCCACAGCTGTGTTACGAGACATGGCAAAGCGATTCCGGGTAAGGAAGATGGAAATTCTGCTTACGGCGGTGCTGCAACCATTTACCGCGAACAAGGTGCTCAATTGTCCTGCGGATGCCAGGGCTGAACGGAAAAGGCACGGACGGCACAGCATCAAGCATCAGCATCATTGCCCGCAGCAGGTCGAAAAAAAAAAAAAAAAAAAAAAAAAATTTAACCAACAGCCCGAGAGTCGTAGAAACATCCATGAGACATCAAAACCAAAGACTGAGCACAGAGTCATTCAGCCCAATTTCATCAGTGCACAGTTTGCTCAACAACAGGCTCGTAACTGAGGGCGTTTGAGTTGGGTGAACATGGGGCTGAGGGCTGGGGGGCTGGGAATCCATGTCAGCCCTTGACCGCTTGAGCTGATTGTTTGTTGACTTTTCCAAGTTTTTTTTTTTTTTTTTGTGTCTGTTTCAAAAATGATAGAGAAGAAATCCAAATATTCTCTCATAAATGTGTGTTCATGTCACATTGTTCAAGAATAATATTTTCCCCGGCGCCGTCGTGTTATTTTTTCAGGCTGGTGCGTTTACAGGAAAAAAAAAAAAAAAAAAAACCAAAATGAAAGGAAGATGAAGAGGTGAAGAGGTGCCCTGCAAATCTGCCAAGGCGGCTACTCAGGAAAGTTCAATAGTAGTTTCCCTAGTTCGCCAGCCATTGACCATTGAATCGTCTCCGGGCCCCATCAGCGGTGAAACTTGCAGGAAGAGAAAATCGATATGCGAAGAGCAAAATGTGATGTGATTTGTCCCAGCCCGCAGTAAAATCGAGCCCAGCCAGCCAATAAACAGCAGCCCTTGCCCGTTTTTGGCGGCGTCCCGTGGCCCGTGGTCCGTGGATCAGCCTCCGCCGCGTGCGCCAAATTTGTCAGCGGCACTGCTTACCTCAGACCACAGTCAGCAGCCCTGGTGCGGCTCAGCCTCTTAAAAACTAATAATTCGTAATTCGCCCCCGTTCCAAAATCCTCTCGTCACAGCCTATCACTTGTCCAAAACCTGCTCCGTCTGGCAACCAACTCACCAGTCAGTGCGAGTCAGTGCCAGTTCACCCAGTTCACCCAGTCCCCGTCTCTCCAATCGCCTGCTGCCAATCCTCCAGATTCCAAGCGAACCATTGGAAGTTCTCTGGCTGTTCTGGTCACGTTGGGACGCTCCGATTTGCCCGTCTTCCTGCCGCTGTCACCGACGGTGTCTGCCTGCGCGTCTATTTCTTCCACTTCCGTTGTCCTGAAAGTTCTTCCATACGTTATTGCCACTGCTGCCACTGCTGCCACTGCCCCAAGGACCATTGTAAGTTCAAATTGTCCCCCCAACCATCCATCCCACGGGGATGCCAACTTGGCACAGGGACCTGGGAAAAAAAAAAAAAAAAGAAAAGAAAAGAAAAGAAGCTTCTTTGCCTTGGGCCCTTCTTGACACCCCTTTTTCACCAATCAAGGCGTCCTGTCTGCCTCTCCAGACTCCAGCTCTTCTGACGTCTGTTTGTCTGTAGACAACAGCGGCCTACAGAGGTATTCATCCACGTTTCCGGGGGGTGATGTTTACTCCGACAAGCCCCGTGTGTTAGACATCGATTACGACCCTGTTGTTATTTATTATTCTATTGCTCTCATCCGCCCATTGCCAGCTGGCTTCCGATCCTCTGAAACCCGCTCCCAAAGATTATCATCAGAACAATACTGAGAATACGGAGGATCCTGAGAAACAACTTGCAATTGAGACAGACATCCTCTTATTTTTTATTTAACCGACAGGTTCGCGTGTATATAGCTTCATATTCATTGCTCTTGCGACAAATACTCCTGTGGTAAGTGTTCTCATCCTTCTCTTCTGCGACAAGCAATGATGTCGCCTGCTGCACGCAACAATAGCTCCCGCATTTGCCAGCGCATACACCCCCAATTATCTGCTCACTTTCTCTCGCCTTGTCCTCCTTTTTTTTTAAGTCCCGAGTCCCGTTTTTGAGTAGCCAAACTCCGTTTGTCATATTTACTTTCTTGTTGTTGATGCTGTTGTCTTCTTATCAATCCTCGGATTTCCCTCTCCAGCCCTCCATCGCCAGGCCCTGCACATCAATCATATAGTGTTCATTTAGTCTCCTTATTAGCCTCTCTCTTCTCTCTCCACCCAGCCCTCTTTTCCCAACGTTCCACTCGCCGCTTGGTTCTGGATCTGACATCAGAATCGAAGCTTCAATACTCCTCATTTCACTCTCATCCCCCCTCGCCTGCCAGTTAGCTCCCTTAGGTTCTTTTGATCTTGCATCCTCGACTTGGTCCGACTTGGCGGTTCCGGCAACCCTCATCTGCCCCAGAAATTACCCGGTTCCAGTGACCAGCCTTGGGCACCGCCTCAGATCGGACCTACGACGTGGCAAGACGCTAGCTGATATCCCCATTCCCATCCCCCGCCTCTCTCAGGCTCGCCCGTCGACCTTCGTTCCGGGTCCAATTATTTGCTGATTCCGTCTGTGTTATCCCCATCAAGAAAGATCCACAGAACACGAACGGAAGCCACCGATTGCGCTGTCAATCACTGGGCCTCTTTTTCGGTTTCTATATTTTTGGGGGAGGTTTTATTCTTTATTATTATTATTATTATTATTATTATTATTATTATTATTTTTACGATTTCTTCCCTATTTCGTGGAGCGGCAATTCCTCATCCTGCACGTTTGCGTTGTTTGCGTTTCCCTTTTGGCTTCATTTCCTGATTCTCGTCATTATTTTTGTCACATCTTTGAAACTTATTGTTATTGCTTTTGCCCCACCCTAAAAAAGTAAAGAAGAAATATAGTACCCGCCCAACCCCCGAAAGTAAAGGAAGAAAAAAAATTGGAAAAAGAAACGAAACGAAAACAAGACCGACCACCGCTGTTGACAACACATCAACGCGCTTTTCTGTCACCCACCTTGCCTCTGCCCCCCGGCTTCCTGCATCAGAGCCCAACCACGTCTTCGCTGTGACTGCGCTGTTCAACCGTCGCTCAAAAAGGACCATTATTTTATTCCTCGAATCCCTCTTTTTTTTCATTTTTCCATAATCGGGCCTTGGTCCGTCATCGCGTTCGACAAACTTTTGCTCGATTGTGTCAACCAACGGAAGGACAAGGAAGGGAGAAAAAAACTTTGTGCATCGAAGCGTGTGCACACACACAGCCGATCGCTCATTTGGCGCCGACCGCTCGTATTGGTCTGTTTGCTCTCTCCCAACCGGACCTAAACCCAGTGACCATCCACCGCTGCATTAGGTGCAGGCCGACCGAAAAGGCTGCAGATTCATCATCCCAGCAGTG